ACAGAAGGTCAGTACTGTGTATGACTCACTAGCTCTGGAATAATCTGTCCAGGTGGCGAAATCGATGCATGCTGGGACAGAATAAATGGCCGACTGTTTTCTTATGATGGCTTAGTGCGTGAAACTCGGAGTTAAAACACTTTTTCCGCCTCTTATTGTTTGTTTTAAATGGCTGCTCAGATAGAAGGTGTTCAGTGTTGACCCTGCTTAGATGCAGGTGTATCAGGTTTTGTGACTGCTCCTACTAGAGTTTGGAAGCATGTTCTGCACTCAGGCCGTTCTCCTTCCTCTGTGTTGGATGTTTGCAATGCATAGAGTGATGAAGGGCTGCAACCAGACCTGTTCGACTACTGGTCGGACGTCCTGGACGTGAAAGATGTCGACGTCGCTGGTGGGGAAGTCCCGGTGGATGTGACTGCCGGCGATGCTGACAGCCATGCTGCTGCTGCTGCGCCAGGTCAATGTGACCCCCCTGTCAGCGGTACTGCTGGAGTAGACATTGATGACGACGCGTGTGATGTGCCCGACATCGATTTGGACGCAGAGCTAAAGGATCTGAACGATGCCTCGGCTGGTTCATGGCAGGATGAGGATCTAGCTACCATCGATGTGGAGTACGCTGGTGCTGAACATGCTGAAGATGCAAACAGCGTTGATTTTGACTTTCACACAGCTGCTAGTGACGATGATGGCACCGGCATTGATTACGATGCTCTTCTCGTGGGCAGTGACGATGAGCAGATCATGCGCACAAGCAGCAAGGCAGCTGCAGGAGCTGCAGCTGATAAGCACAGTGGTGGTGTGAGCTCAGAACCGAGTGCTAAACGCCGGTGCTAGTGCGCGTACAGAGTGTCCTTCCTCTTTTTGTTAGATCATGCTTCCCTTTCCTTCTTTTTTGTCTAGTTTAATAGGGTGTGTGTGTTTTTTTCACTTTCTTAATCAGGCTCCCTTTTCTTGTCCCTTTCTTTGCATATACTGCATATATCTATTTTGATGCTTGTTGCCACCCATGTTGGAGAAATGCTGTTAGGTGATGCTTTTTTCATGTTAACTGTGTCCTGGCGTCGTGAATCATTATCTGAACTTATTAATTTTATCCTGTTCCATGTCTGATCCAGTCCCTACCAAGGAGTGGAGGAGGATGTTTGTTACATTTGAGAGAAGTTTCTGCGGTGGGGCTTTCCCAGTAAGAAATACATGTCAGTACAGCAGTACTGTCGTTCGCGAAGAACTGGGGGTCACAGCCTCCCTAGCCTAGATAGACCATTTGAGTCACCGTGTACATTATTGGTATGCTATGCTTGATGAAATTCTAGCCTGGTCGTTCTTCAGCACCACTACAGTACTTCGGCACCAGTGAGTGAGACCAACCACTACTAGCAGTGTGGATGACCCCAGTATCTGTGGATGAATTAGGAATGTACTTTGTTTCACGTGAAGAAATACAATCAGTGACTGCATCTCGGTAGGATTTGTTTAGGGCCCAGTTGACAAGGGGGGGGGGGGGGGGCACTTGATGTCCTTCGAAGAATGCTACTGCACAACTGTAACGATCACGGGGGGGGGGGGGGTAAGACTGACGAACACTGGCCTGCCCTGGCTCGACCACCTAATACAGTGCAGTGGTGATGTGCACCAGGGAGTACGATACGAGTAGATAAAGGTTTTACTACTGCCTTGTGTGCATCATTGACACAGGGTGCTCACGAAGGCAGAGTTACCGAAGAGATACCTGCATCACACGGGGCCTTCTCCCGGGATCAAGTAATTAGTTAGTTCCCTCTCACAGAAACCAGAATTGATGGACCTGGGGCATGTGTGACCGACCGTCGTCGGCTGAATCGCTATGGTCTGCCAGTGAAGAACTGGGGGTCACAGCCTCCCTAGCCTAGATAGACCATTTGAGTCACCGTGTATACATTATTGGTATGCTGTGCTTGATGAAATTCTAGCCTGGTCGTTACAAAACGTAGGTGGTGCACAAGCTACCGCGTACCGGTAGGACTACAATGTGCAAGTGTTCAAAAGACTAAGACGGTCCTGTACAGTTACATGTGCACAACATGTCATGTAGTGTGGCAGTTGTGTTGAAAACACGATCTGCGGAGAGAAAGAAAGAGAAGGAGCCACAATACCTTATGTTCGGGCAGAGCAGAAACGGATCCGTGCGACTACTTCAGCTAGGGCCAAGGGGACGACATGGGAATCTCCGTGCCAGCTCTGTGGTTTCACGACGTCTGTGTACGCTCCACTGGTTTCCTGATCCAAGTCGGTAGAGCAGGGTGATGAAGGAAGCTCCTACCAGAACGCCGCTGCACTGTGCCTCTTTTCGTCAATCTTTTCCGAGAGCCAGCCCCTTGTCCAACCGGATCGAGCATGAAGCGCTTAAGGCTGAGCCGCGGGTAGTCGGTATCAAAATGATCTCCGTGCCAGCTGTCGTCAGGTCATAATTCTTTGTGCCATCTTCAATAGGTCCGTCAAATACAGTAGTAGTAGGTTTTTCATTTTGACCCGACGAGACCATACGACGCTTGCAGATCACAGCACGAACAGTTCACCAGCCACACTCCACGAAAGCAAGTAGTAGTACTCCTGACAAGTCTTGTTTCGTTCCATAGAGATAATAACGGGGAACTCATCAGAGGAGAAGCAGTTGTTGAATGAAGGGGTTTAGCTGAATAATGCTATTTTATAGACGAGATATTGGCGCACTGAGGTGTAAACACTCAACTAACTCACATATGTGACATATCAACACAAAAGGAATAGTGCAGAATGGAGGTGTTCTGAACCCTACCAGACACAACTATCACAAGTGCTAAATCATTCACAATGAGAAGGAGAGGTGCACAAGAATAGGTTGCGCTAGTTTACACGTCACAAATGGTACTGACTCTATTCCTTTTGTGTTGATATGTCACATATGTGAGTTAGTTGAGTGTTTACACCTCAGTGCGCCAATATCTCGTCTATAAAATAGCATTATTCAGCTAAACCCCTTCATTCAACAACTGCTTCTCCTCTGATGAGTTCCCCGTTATTATCTCTATGGAACGAAACAAGACTTGTCAGGAGTACTACTACTTGCTTTCGTGGAGTGTGGCTGGTGAACTGTTCGTGCTGTGATCTGCAAGCGTCGTATGGTCTCGTCGGGTCAAAATGAAAAACCTACTACTACTGTATTTGACGGACCTATTGAAGATGGCACAAAGAATTATGACTTCTCCTGGACCAGGAAATCTGCCATTGACCAGAGGAAGGATTTGATCTGCTGCTTGGATTTTAGCGTTAGACGCCAACCTTGTAGTCAAGATCAGGATGGATACGTCGCCTCAGCAGCCCACAGTTCTATGTCACACCCAGCAGCCTTCCTTTCACTATACCGCTGGCTGAATTCCAATTATCGAGGTTTGTGAAGTATTTGTCTTGTGCCGCTAGCAATCTTCAGATGTGACGTTAGACGTTCGTGATGATTTGTTGGCTTTCACTTGGCATCTACTTTTCACCTATCTTTGTCACTACCTCAGTACCATTTGTGACGTGTAAACTAGCGCAACCTTGTGCACCTCTCCTTCTCATTGTGAATGATTTAGCACTTGTGATAGTTGTGTCTGGTAGGGTTCAGAACACCTCCATTCTGCACTATTCCTTTTGTGTTGATATGTCACATATGTGAGTTAGTTGAGTGTTTACACCTCAGTGCGCCAATATCTCGTCTATAAAATAGCATTATTCAGCTAAACCCCTTCATTCAACAACTGCTTCTCCTCTGATGAGTTCCCCGTTATTATCTCTATGGAACGAAACAAGACTTGTCAGGAGTACTACTACTTGCTTTCGTGGAGTGTGGCTGGTGAACTGTTCGTGCTGTGATCTGCAAGCGTCGTATGGTCTCGTCGGGTCAAAATGAAAAACCTACTACTGTCGTCAGGTCATCGCTTCAGACTGGACTGAGCTGAGATGCCCTGGTTTTTATAGACCTAACCGTAACATGTGTGAGGTGCGTGCTAGTACAGTACTGGCAGTGCTAGTGGTGTTCGTCGCACCAGGCCAGGCGCTGACGGGGAGTGACGCCCGGCCGGGTGTTAGGCACCTGACCTACAAAGTAGAATACTACTTACTTGTAAGCGCCTCTCGCCTTGAAGTATTTTGTTGGCGCGAGATTAGGAGAGGCTTCGGACCTCGAGTGCAAACATGAAAGTGATGCGAAAGGGATGCGAACGTGAAATACTAAAAATATATTTGTAGTGTCAAGTAACGTTACGTAACGCTGTGACGACCACCATGTACATGATTGTACATGTACCAGCGATTGCGGACAGTACATCACTCTGTCTTCTGTTCCATACCGGTACGGACTGGAAAGCAGGTGGAGAACAAAAAGAAACGAGGAAAAGGACAAAACATAGTCATAGGGGATGTAGGGATGACGTGCCGATGTGCTGGGAGCAACTCAACCGACCAGATGCAGAGGTCTCGGCGTCAGCGTTGCAAGTAAACTATTACTTTGCAACTACAGTACCGGCAACAACTTACTTGCACGATGCCGCATCGAGAATGGGGGGGGGGGGGGGGGGGGGGTTGCACAAGCCTTCCTGTCTCTCCTTCCTCATATCACGACCCCAGTATTTTTACTGGAGGTAGGTCTACACGTAGTACATGTGGGTTATCTGTATCATGGTGATAAAGCGTAATCTCGGCTATGCTAGCACAGCATGGCACTGATGACAGCCATGTAGCTAGCTAAGCTTTATAACTAAGCCTCAAGACTTTTTTTGTAAAACGTCGAGTTCACCTTCACTGCTTCATTCACCCTTCTCCACAGTTCGATGCATCATCTGACTCAAAGTCACGTGCGGTCCACCACGTGCACTGCCAATGATCTACGTCGACGTCACAGTTTGAAATCAAGAACCGGACCCACTCGTACAACTACACAACTTCAGTCACAAGTCATGCATGCAGTGATCATGGTGATGTAGTCTTTTGAAGAAGCAGGACCAAAAAATAATAGAATGACAATGTACAGTGCAAAGACAGTTTCTGAAAAGTATCTTGTGGATCAGTTTGCTTGAAACTGATGCAGGTTTAGCTATGTTTCGTGCAGGTGGGAGACGCCATTTGGCTCTCCTTACTACGAATCTTGGACGTCGATCAGCGTCTGGGGAAGCAGCGAAAGCCCCGCTACCGGATTTCGACACAGATGTGAATATTCATGAGCATAAGCTACGTCGACCCGCAGTACCACAGGGCAGCTGGTCAGGACTGGACGGGTTGAAGCAGAGAACACAGGGATCTCTCATACCGGAGACTCTAAAGGGCATGGCTGAGGATAAAGATTTCCAAGTCACTGCTGAGCAGCTCCGTAAGATGGGTCAGGTGAAGCTCACACGCGAGGAAAGAAAAAGGCGACAGCGAGCTCTCGACCAGTACGATGTGCCGGCTTTTGAGCAGATTGTGGAGGATAAATGTGGACAGAATCAGTTAGTGAGACGGCCTGCACGCATTCTCCAATTGAACATCGGACTTTACTGCAACCAGGCATGCAATCATTGTCATGTGGAATCCTCGCCGCGCCGAAAGGAGATGATGTCACGCAGCGTGGCCGACCGCTGCCTGGAGTTGCTCAGCCAGTGCTCGAGTGTGACGACCCTAGACTTGACTGGCGGAGCGCCGGAGCTGTGCGACGAGTTTCGCTACTTGGCCAAGCGCGGCCGCGAGATGGGCAAGATCGTGATCGACCGCTGCAACTTGACGGCTTTGCTGGAGCCAGGGCAGGAGGACCTGGCCGAGTTTTTGGCCAGCAATCAGGTTCAGGTGGTCGCCTCGCTGCCCTGCTACAGTGCTAAGAATGTGAACACGCAGCGTGGCAGTGGGGTGTTTGACAAAAGCATTGCTGCACTGCTCAAGCTGAACGAGGTAGGCTACGGCCATCCCGACTCTGGCCTCACTCTTGACCTGGTCTACAACCCCCTGGGTGCCTTCCTGCCACCAGAGCAAGCCTCACTGGAGGAGAAGTATCGCCAGGAACTGCTAGAGACGTTTGGCATTGTCTTCAATCACCTCTTCACCATCACCAACATGCCCATCAAGCGGTTTGCAGACTTCTTATATCGTCGGTGAGTACTGGCACCATGAACACAGCCCATATTAGTCCACTGAGTGCGTGCTAGGGCGGATAAATACAACTTACATGTACAGTTGTGTTAGGAAATTAGAGGCCATATGCCTCGTGCTGCTCTCTTCTCTCCAAAACTCTATTCTGAGAGAAAAGAGCAGTACGAGGCATGTGGCCTCTAATTTCCTAATACTTTGAAATTCTCCGTGAAGTCCAAATTTGAAAATGTACAGTTGTACTAGAGGAAACCTACCCAAAGTGTATAGCCTAGACTTACACAGCCCTTGACTGACACTCTGGAAGTGGTACAAATGCTCCGGGTGTGCACATGTACAGTCTACACTGATATACAGCACTGGGAACTGATTCAGGGTGCCAGCTTTTCACTTTGGGTCGGATTTCACCTACAGTGCTGCTCAATGAAATCCAGTCACAGCGTCACTCAAGTACACGCCACTGGGCGTTGCACAGCCCTAGACCTGCGAACACTGGGCTGCGAAATGGTGCAAGGCGTAAACTTGAGTGAGACGACTGGATTTCATTGAGCAGCGCTGTAGCACAACTACTATTCCTGATGACATGCGTCTGTAGAACAGGTACATGCATGTTATTTGCTACAGACTTCTGCTAACTCGTAGGCACTGAATCTTTTCACAGAATACTTTTAAAAGTGTGTGATAGCCTGCAGTCAGGTGCAGTGTAGTCTTTTGACTTTCGGTGAGATGCTGGTGATGAATATCGCATGTGTTCTTTCCTCTACGCTGGCCGCCAGGAATGAACTGGAAGAGTACATGAACGTGTTGGTGCGGAACTTCAACCCGGAGACTGTGGAGAATCTGATGTGCCGTGACCATGTGTCCATCGGCTATGATGGCAAGGTGTTTGACTGCGACTTCAACCAGCAGTTGCAGATTGGTGTGATGCCGAACGAGGATGGATCCCCCAGTGGTGTTGACGTGTTCTCCCTGCAGTCACTGGACAGCCTGACGGCACTGCGCAGCAACACGGATAACCATTGCTTCGGCTGCACTGCGGGAATGGGCTCCAGCTGACAGGGAGCATTGGCGTAGAGCAGCTTGAGAACATTCCGCTGCTACTATGCCCAGTGCACAGGCGCTGTTTGTAGCTGGGCTGTATGCTGTCTTCGCGTCGTGACGTTCCGCACGCTAAAGCCTTTCTTTGTAGGCGGCGGTGGAGCTGATATCCGATGGCAGTGCCCGATAGCACTATTGCCTGGCAACCCATTGTAAAGTGTGAAACCCCACCCAACGCACTCTCAGATGTGACGCATTCTCTGTTTTGTATGCCTCGCTCTGTGTGATGGTAACCCGCGGTTGTTTTATGATGGGGTGTGTAAATACTAAATCCCATAGCTCTAGCTGTACATACACTGTACTATTATTAGGCATGACTTTCCTTTAGTTAGCCAGGTCACATGACCAAGCTTAGGACATCCCCAAGTGTAGACATTGTATGCAATCTCACTTTTTCTTGTGGTTTTGACTCAGCACAAGTATAATGCCTTACACACAGCACATGTACCGCTTAATTTACCCTCCCCCTCCCCTCCCCTCCATCTTATTTTTACATTCTACACCAGCTGGTTGGTTCTGCACACTTTGTTTACCTGGAGGTGTCTAAATTTGCTCTGCCGTGTTTTGGACTTTTTTGTTCTGCTACTTGGAAGTAGGATATGAAGAATTGCTTCATACTCCTACGTTTTGTCATACCGGCATTTATTTTTCCTGATTTGCAGGCTTTTCACCCGTTTTTCTTTCATTCGTTTTATTAGATTGATCTTCCAAAGAGGTTATCTATTCTTTTTTTAAATATTTTCATTGTGCTTCAAGCTGGCCTTGGACCTGTTTATCTACTTCTTTTATTGCACCTCCTGATATCTACAAGTACCGTATAAGTATAAGTATACTTTATGAATAATTGAAAGAAAGGTGCCCCTGTCTTGGAAGAGTGACCGATACGTGAAGTAGAGCTTACAACTCAAGTTGACATGATCGGTGGGAAACTTGGGTGTCTACTCAGAGCTTACAACTCAAGTTGACATGATCGGTGGGAAACTTGGGTGTCTACTCAGAGCTTACAACTCAAGTTGACATGATCGGTGGGAAACTTGGGTGTCTACTCAGAGCTTACAACTCAAGTTGACATGATCGGTGGGAAACTTGGGTGTCTACTCAGAGCTTACAACTCAAGTTGACATGATCGGTGGGAAACTTGGGTGTCTACTCAGAGCTTACAACTCAAGTTGACATGATCGGTGGGAAACTTGGGTGTCTACTCAGAGTTTCGTGTGGTACATGTATTTGGCTAATCATCCGACAACATGCAGTGTCACAGTTCAAACCGTGCACGTACATGTGTGTGTGTAGCAAACAGTACAATGTACTTACTCAGTGTAGATACATACCGGTATTATACTATTCCAGATGGAATCCGAATACAGTATTGATGATATCATTGTCCATTGACTCCGTACTAAGACGAATCTCCTAGCCAAAGTGTTTGCGAGCTACAGCCAGGCGCCACTGCTAACACCTGACCTGCACTCAGCTGGTATTTTAACACCCACGTCCACTGTGAAGTTCTCCATACAACCATTCTCTGTGCAGTCCGTATTTGACACGCTATCCAGACTTCCCATTCAACGTAAAACCGCTGGACTGCTGAACAATCGCATCCTCCGTGAAACAGCTGAGGTCACGTCACAGTCTCTTTCCGCCCTTTTCAACCGCTGCTTGCTGTCCAGTACTCAGCCCAGGGAGTGGAAATCTGCCGTTGTTGTACCTGTGTTCAAGGGAAAAGGTAATCCTTCTCATCCAGTCAATTACCGTCCTATATCGCTGTTAAATGCAGTTGCCAAATTGTATGAGTATGATTAGCCATCAGTTTTACTCGTTTGTTGAGAGCCATAAAATTATCAGTTCCAGCCAGTTTGGCTTTTGTCGAAAGAGGTCAACAGTTGACCAATTGGTACAGCTTACCTCAATTGTTTCGCGTGCATTTGACTCTAAGTCTTCTTGTGACCAGCTGTTCCTTGATTTTTCTAAGGCCTTTGACAGAGTTAGTCATCATTTAGTTATTCAATCTGTTTCAGGTTGGTGTTCTCTTTCTGCCTGTTCTTGGGTGAAGGACTTCATCAGTGATCGTAGTATTTGCGTTCGCATCGGCCAAACTCTTTCTGACCCTTTGCCCATCACCGCTGGCGTACCCCAAGGTTCCCATCTCGGCCCGCTTCTTTCTACCTGTGCATCAACTCCTTTCCTGATGCCCCTGCTTCTAGTACCCTATCCCTTTTTGCTGATGACTCTAATTTAATTCTTGTTTCTCCAGCAAACACCTCACTTCCTATCCATCATGCATTGCTCCAGACTGACATTGATAAGTGTTGTCAATGGTCATCAGCTACTGCCATGACGTTTAACACCAGTAAATGCGTCCACCTACCCTTTCAAAAATATGCATTAGCCCCCGGCCCGTCATCCCCCTTGACAATGAACGGTGTGCCTATTCAGAAAGGTGATAGCCACTGTCATCTCGGCGTGACTATCACTCCTTCACTAAATTTTTCTGACCATATAAAATCTATCACCCATAAGTTTCGCAGTCGTGTTTTTCTGTTGCGCCATATGGCCCATTTCCTTTCTGCTTCAACCGTGAATTTGCTCTACAAGTGTTACGTACGACCACTGTTAGAATACGCAGTCCCTGTCTGGTCATTCGCCGTATCCCATTCAGATTCGCTTACGTTAGACCGACTGCAAGCCGTTGCTGCTCGTTCATATCTGCTTTGTAAGACCCGGCACCCTCCTGAGTGGGAAACCCCGAAGCAGATTCTTAATCGTACTTGTGACTGGTCATCCCTGAAGTGGCGTCGTCAGATTCTGTCCTTGCTGTATTTCATCATGTCTTTTACCAGTTTCCGTCTTTGCTAATTCGTTTCAAATTCAATGTATCCCTTAGTTGTCGTCACCCGTCCTCTATAGTTTTACCTCGTTCTGGCGCCCATTTCCTTAAATCCCCTCTCTTCAGTTTATCTGTGGAATGGAACAAACTTCCAGAACACATCCGCTGCGTTCAGTCCTCTGTCAATTTTCGCATTGCTCTAAAGGCTCATTACTCACAGCATAGATATTCTCTGACTGGAATTCCGAACTTTTCCGTTTGAGAAATTTTTTTTCCTTGAAATTAATCCTTGGCATTTCTTGCTGGTTTTTTTTTTCATCTAAATGTCCCGCTATTATCTGCAGAGGTGATTTCTTCCCTCGTCGATTTCTTTCCTGCTTTTATACCTCGATATTTAGGTACTTGTTTCCCTTCTTCCCATGCTTCATCTTCCACTCTCCTCTCCCCCATTTCCCCATTTTTCTTGCGATATTTATGTGGGAGACTTCCGTGATAAGCATCCATTTGCTTTTGGAGAATCCTTTTAAATAAATACAATACAATACAATACAATAAATGCACATTGTATTGGGCTGGGTACACATGATTGCCCCCCACTGCCTATAGTTACGCTAGAAACGTCTACTTTCTGTGATTGTGAATATCACATTTTTTTTAAAGGTTTCAGTCGTGAACTGCAACCGACGGCAATAGGGAACCAACAACTCATCGGCCATGGCTACAATGGAAACTGTCTACTTGCAATTTTAAATGGCACACTCTCAATAAGCCACTCACTATTGTCAGAGGGACAGAGTGTGTGACGTATCGAGAGTAGATTGTGGCATGGGTATGTCATGATGACTATCTCTGCCACGGACACGTGTAGTGTACGTCGGGGCTCCCACACTGCAGAGACTCTCCTCCTTGCTGCTCCCCAGCCTCACATGTTCTCTTGCCGGGTGATGTCTGCCGTTGCAGCGTGGCTGCGACTTCAGCTTGTTTCTTCATGTCAGATGCAGCACTGGCACTGAGCTGAGCCTCCTGAGCCGTGCCAGACTTCCTTGGGTTGAGAAAATCGTACATGGACATGCTGGGAGCCCAGAACTTCTCGATGAACTCGGTCATTAGTGTTGTACCTTCGGCATGGCTAACATAGGGGGATAGCATGGGGTTGTACATTACATCAACGAGTTCCCGTATCAACGCCACGTTGAACTTGTCCCAGGCCACCAGCTGTTTGATCGCAAACGGTCGCGTCATGATGCACATGTTCTCGTGAACGCCGGCGTAGAGGACATTGCGAATGCCACGCGCCGACAGGACGTTGTAGATCTCCTGTGACGTCTGTCGGCCATCTTGACCGGCGCTGATCGCGTCCTGCTGGGCTATGGTGATGAGCCGGTTCTCGCGATGCCATGCCTGATAGCTGGTGGCCGGCACATCACAGCCACCGTCCGATGCGTCCAGCGGAAAGGCTGGTTCGGCGTGAGGCTGGTCCTTGGGGACTGTGACATTGGGCAGCTCCAGCACCCACTTTCTCTGCGGGTAGTCCACATAGAAGGCCATGCAGTCCGATGGTGCGTGGATAATGAGCACGCCAAGCTCGCGTGCGGCCGACAATGTTTGGTTCATGAGCATGGCCAGCGCTGACAGTCGTTCAGTGGCTGTGGGACACCAGTGCTTGTCCCAAACGTCCACCAAGATGATGCAGGTCTCCGCCGGCTTCCACTGGACAACTTCCTCACGGCTGCTCCAAGCCAAACGGCCAGTGCTGGAAGCAGCCTGTGATCTGAGAGTGATATCCAATTGGGTGGCTGGCACACCAGCCACTAGTAGCAGCTGACTGCAACAGTTAAAACAAGTCCACGTCAGCACACGTAAGGTTAGCCTGCAAGCCATGACTGTTCAATGTCTTCAAGATGCTCGCAACTGCTTTGAAAAGCACTGCTGGTTTAATTCTTAGCAGGATAGTGGCACTGTGGCAGCAGACTGAGTGGCAATCTCCGGGCCACGCTATAGCAAAGTAGCGTCCCACTGGGCTAGAGAAGCACTACCTATTAGGCAAGTAAAACCTTTACTTTTCAAATGATACCAAGTGCACAATTGCCAAGAGCAGTCAATTTTAATAATATAATTATATCACTGACCTGCTCATGCCATGCAACCAGCCAGGGTTCATTGATCAGTGCGACACTCAGCGGTGTGGCCGCATGGCTGGCACTCCGCACCGTCGAGCACATATCGACCAGCTGAGGGCACTAATCACCAACAATCCTGGGCATGGATGCTTGTCACAGTGTTCACGGGATTGGATAGGACTACCTGTCTGACAGTCCTGTCATCTTGTCATCATCCCACTGCTGACAGCCGTTGCCACACATCCTCTGTCAACAACACCAAACCAGACAGGCCGAATGCGCATGCCAGTTTAGAACGAGTGTCCAGTTGTACACGTGCATGTATCAATCAATGTACATACAATATCATCTTGGCATGTGGGTGAAGTTGACTCAACGAGGGAACCTTTATGTAAGGGTATGTGTGACTGCAGGAGAAGCATGCACTGAGATTGCTGATAATGTGTACATCCAAGGAGTGTTCCAGTTTGATAATATATTGAAGACAATTTGGGATCGTGTCTATGATACTTGTACGTGTAATTGCGTTAGAAGTCATGATGTGACGTCTTTTCACCAGCTGCAGTAATGCTCATGATATTATATTTGTGCAGCAGCCATGTTGTTCCACTTTTATTCCAGCCGCTTGAATGTGCTGAACTCAGAGGGGTTATTTTCTTTTTTGTGCAAGTCAAGCCTTCGCCAACACAATTGTACTCTTGTCACAATGCGTGCTGCAAATCCAAACCTTACCAAGCATATGCACCCGGGTATGCTTCTAAAACTCTCTCTCTCTCGCGCGCGCGCGCGCGCGTGTGTGTGTGCATTTTGAGTAGTTACATTTTGGTACACATTGATATAGCGTTGCCAGTAAAATCCTTTTTCAAAAGGATACCCATAACTGACCATAACCCAAGTCGACGGCATGCATGATCAGTGCGCAACTCGCTTTACTCATTGCGTTCCAAATTTCTTTCTTGTCTCCACGAATATTTTTTTGTGATAAAGAGTATATTGTAATACATTTCGTTGATGCGACACAGTGATACCACAAAGAAAGTGCTAGAGGGCACTAAGGTAACTATAGCCTATAGGTGATGTCAACTCGGAAATAAACCAGAATAATTGCTAAGATTTCAAAACACTGCCATTCCTACAGACTGTAACTGAGATTTCCAGGACAAAATATGCATGTAACGCTTTACCAGGCAGCATGCTGCGCCCCACACGTGCAGGAGAATTGCTTGGTAATCTCGACGCCAGTAGACCCAATGCTGCCGGTCCTCATTTCTTCTGGCAGTACTTGAAGTGACTGCAGGTCTGCAGTGGGGTCATATTGGACAGCATCTGGAGCATCTCCGGAATGTACTTGGCCGCCTCGTTGGCGCATTTAGTCATGGCCGTGTCGTCCTTCAGAAATCCGCAGAGTCGCTTGAACTCGGTGGCCGCGTCTTCCTGGTATTGTTTCTCTGCAAGCAGTCGATCCAGGTCCTGAATATAGTTCTGACACTGCTGGCACAGGCATGTGTTAGTCACCGCAAGACTTGTGTCCCTCACACTAGCCACCTAGCAGGCAAGAATTCAGAGAATGCAAAGCACATCATCATGTGCTTACGGACGGGATTGTAGGATCATCGGTTAAATAATCTCATCCGTTCAGCCTAGAAGACCATCACAAAGTGCAAACTGCCCGCAGTGCACACACACGTCATGCCCCCCCCCCCCCCCCCCCGCCCAACACACACTGACTCATCACTTATAGCACGTACATGCACTGTAGTGCACAACTACAATCCATCCTCTACCTTTGTTGCATTCACACAGGCTGTTTTGCAGGCCTTGTCAGAGTCTATCATGCCCAGGTCTTCGGTCAGCGTAGCAAAGTGCTTCATAACAACATCAGTACAGTGTTCCTGTATCGTGAAAGAACAAACAAATCAAGCGGTATGTTGTACCAATAAGGTGATATTCATTACGCCAAGAGTCCATATATATATACCAGACACACATATAGGGGGGGGGGGGGGGGCAGGAGAGTGTTACTGTAATTGCAGCTCACTCTCTGTATCAGGTTCTACACGTACACAGCCTAATCCCTGGTAAAGTGCCGATGCGGTGCTGTGCTGATGATGCCAGACAGTTTCAGAGCACCAAAAGCTGTCAGTATAGTTATCCAGAGCTGCACGAACGTACAGGTAGAGATCTGTTATAGCGTTGGTGTTTGAAGAAGCGTGACTTGGTCACTATAGATGATGATTATTACATGCGATCGGACAGGGTAGTACTTCAAAGTATGTGAGTGATAACTGAATTTTCCAATAAAGTTCTACACAGACTGTGATGCAGCTAGGGGGGGGGGGGGGGTAGGCTAGGGTACGACAGGGGGGGGGGGGGGGTAGGCTAGGGTATGGCAGGGGGGGGGGGGCGGGGGTAGGCTAGGGTATGACAGGGGGTAGGCTAGGGGGGGGGGGGGGGTAGGCTAGGGTATGACAGGGGGGGTAGGCTGGGGGGGGGGGGGGGGGGGTAGGCTAGGGGGGGGGGGTAGGCTAGGGTATGACACTATGGTACAATACTACAGTACTGTCGGTCGCCGAAGAACTGGGGGTCAGCCTTCTAGCACACACTACCCCTTTGTCTATGAGACGTAATTCACATCTTGTCACCCTTATCCATTCTCTCAAACTCAATCTGTGTTCACCTCACCTCCACTGTTTCAACTGGTTTTCTTCCCGTAGCACGAGAAACTCCCTTTCCCTTCCGAAACCCAAGTCCTCCTTTCTACTTCACTCTCCCCTTTTCACTGCGTACTCTGCGTGGCTAGCACTTCCCCAAGAAGCTAAGGACCTTTCTTCCCTCCGCTTTTTTAAGAGCCTTGTCGCGCCTTGACTTTGATTTTCACGGTGTTTCTCATTTTGTTGCAATCACTACTTATCCATGCCGGTTCCTTTTTTCTTCTCCTCCCCTTCTCCCTTCCTTGCCGTGGTTGGCTAACACCCTCTCTCTTTGTATTGGCCGGTGTTCTCACTGTGCTATGAGATGCTGCAATAAATAAATAAATAAACTGGGGGTCAGCCTTCTAGCCTAGACCGTTCTTATTGTCATGTATTACAGTCGATGCACAGTTCAGTCACCGTGTATACATTGGTATGCTGGGCTTGGTGACATTCTAGGCTGGCCGTTCCTCGGCGCTACCCGACAGTACTGTACGGGCTAACATCCGGCTATCTAACCTGCATGCTGGTATCTAACCTGCATGCTGGCGGGAATGTCAAGGCAGATCTTGCGGTAGAACGTGTTGATCCATCGACGAGTGGCATTGCGCTTGAAGCATGCGGAAAACTGTCCAAAATAGTACCTGGAGTTAGGAGTTAAGCGTTAGGGTGCAGGCAATGGAGAGACAGGATGGGAAGCGTGCAGGAGACCTTAATTACACCTAAAAACCGTATTTTCTGCCTGCTTTAGTTCTTAGCGGGCAAATCAGATTGCCACCATATCTGCAAACCCATAAACGCCATAGAGAGCACAGAGATGCATGCATGACTGTGAACTTCAATATGAAAAGTGCCTTGACGTGCAGCATGCTGTGGAAAGTTGGAACAAACCGTGAAGTGAGCATGTATAGTGTGTGCGTAAGTGTGACCATGGGTGGAATGATGTGCAAGTTAGCTCCATCAGGGGTGTCAGAAGGCATTTTAGTGTGGTACAGTCAACGACCTGAAATACAATTTACTCGTGGGAAGCGGTGGCCGAGCCAACAATTTTGGAATTTGTTTGCCCAGATCAGTTCATTTTATTTGTTCACGGGGAAGCTGGGGCAAAAAGTGGTATGGTCAATACCGTAGTGACCGTACCTTGTCCGACACCCCTGTCCATACAATTATAATATAGCCGCTGAAGGGAGATCTCCCAACATACAGTGCCCACGCATACAGTTACAAGGATAGAGAAGGGAAACAAGGCAGTATTGCACGCATGAGCAATCATCAGACAGCACACACACACACACACACACTCTCTCTCTCTCTCTCTCTCTCTCTCAGTGTGCCCAAGTGTATACCTATGTGTACAGGTACTTACTTGCAAGATTCGCATTCACAGTCATCATCTGGAATTGCACCAAGCCCGGTCAATGCTGCAACCTCCTCAATCTCTTTGGGAATGCTTCCATCGCTGTTGCGCCGAGTCAGATCAAAGTATGGACCCACGCATGGGATGTGGATTTTAGGCTTGGTTGTCGCAGCAACCTGCGTGGGTTGCTCTGCGTTCTGCAAGCAAATCGAGACAGGGAAAGAAAAGTACAACCAGGAACACCGCGAATGTATGTAGGTGTATGTGTGTGTACATGTATGTACGTGTGTGTGTGTGTGCGCGCGTGTGTGTGTGTGCGTGTGTGTGCCATCATAAACGGTGGATGTTGTGTGCTCCCCCCCCCCCATCAATCCCCGGGCAAGGAGCACCCCCCCCCCCCTCCCACACACACACACACACACACACACACACACACACACACACACACACACACACACACAGGCATGCTGACATAACATCAACACCATGCTGTATACCTTAGCCGGTGCAGTGTGGTTCTCACAGAACTTGAAGCGGTTGCATGCCATGGCAGGATTGAGGTGTGACATCATCGCATACATCTCCGGAATGTACTGTTCAGCGGTTGTCTGGCACTGGGTGACATCGGCATCTGGTAAGAATGAACACAACCTCTTGAACTCCTCAACAAACTCATTCTGAAACTGCACAAGAGCGAAGCAGAAAGACCAGCTGCTAGAACAGCATCCCTACTCGTACCGTGGCTTTCCCGGTGGACAAACAATGCTTCCAAGAGGATGCAACAAAAGTCACCAAAAGCAAACAAGCACAAATCAATTTTGTTTACGTAAATGCGAGAGATAACGGGGAATATTCTTTGGACCGTTCGCATGCTCTTCGACCAGACAGTCACCTATGCTCCAAACAAAACAGCCCTCGTGATCAATTTTAATTCCAGACGTCCCCAAGCAAATGTCATCAAAACAGTTACGTCACAAACAAGGCATGAGTCACATGACCAGACATGAGTCACAAACAAGGCATGAGTCACATGACCAGACATGAGTCACAAACAAGGCATGAGTCACATGACCAGGAACAATGTACTAGTAGACTGTATTACAACATTCCGTTACAATTACCATTTTACAAGAATCACGTTGAAAGTGTCTTTTGTAATCGGTTTTAGCTGTATATATACTCACTCTCTTCTGGCCAAACGCGTCCGCAAGATCAGAGAACACTTCCTGACAAGTCTGACACAGGCATGTGTTGACCGGCTTGTCCTGAACTTTGATCTTTGGCAGACCGAGAGCCTTGTTAGAAGTAGAACTCGCACCGGTGGTGCACACATCTTTGCACGCCTGGCAACACCAATCACAACAATAGGGAGAAAGCACAATACTGTACCAGTATAAGCCAGCATTCAGCCCACATATTATACAGTGGAACCTCGGAATTCCGACCGCCTAAAGGACCGGACAAAGTGGTCTGATTTCAATGGCAGTGATTGGTAAAAATGACTTTCCTGTATCCCCGCTTGTGGAGGAAAATTCGGGACCGAGCAAAAGTGGTCAGATTAGTGATGTTCCACTTCTAAATTACCAGAATCTCATTCATTTGGCACCTTGCACTGCTCCAAGCTAGCTCAGGTTGGACAGTAATATCAGTTGCATCTTCCTCCCAGATTGCTTTCAAACTAGTCATGTTGTCACTCTCTCATATCGATGTATCTGTGGACAAGAGGAATGGGTTGCTGGTGAAGTCGGAACTGCGGGCCAAACAGATAAAATTGGATATTAACTTACATGTACATGTATATCAATGATCAAGCAAAAGAGCAATTGGTGGGTCAAACATCACGATCTTTCAGGTTTATAAACAGAAGTGACACGAGAGCAAGAGTACATCAACCCCAGAGTGTACAGCTCAAATGGGTGGCTAGCCTGACAAAATTCCCGCATTACATCATCTTGATGATGCAGTGTGTACAAGCAGGACTCAAACAGTTCTCCTGGTGCATGCGGCTACAGCCCGGCAGTTGTACGCACAACGCCACTTAGTTACACCGCATATTTGCAACAACTGTGATGTAATCCAGGAATTTTGCCATGATAGACAGACACCCATGCAGATGAGTCAAAAGCTGCACCGGCACTCTTGGGTTCATGTCCTGTTGACTCACCTTCTTCGGATCCAAGTCTGCAAGGTCTCCGATGACAGAGGCAAAATGGTTGCTGACCACCTTAACACAGTGTTCCTGCAACACCAGGACACATATGCCGGAGAGAATGGATACGTAGATTAAAACTGCAGCCTCCCGGCCTGGGAACTGCAAACATCAATCATGGCTAGTGTCCACTGAGTAGACCAGCGGAGCACTGGAGCAGATGTGCATAGCAGGTGCGTGCTCGGCGATGGGCACGGGGGGCACGTGCACCCCCCAAAAATTTTCAATCTGGGTAATTGCAATTGTGATGTATGCAAATATGCTCTAAAATTCAAGAAAGGTTGCAAACAAATTGCAGAAAATTGCCGGGGGGGGGCTCCCCTCGGCTCCCGTGCACCCCCCTAGTTGGGGGGCCGAGCACGCCCCTGCATAGGTTGGCTATAAAAACCCTGCAATCGCCACGCAAAGTGGTCATTGGCTACCCCAGCCATGTATTGCTTGGAATAAAATAAATAAATAAATAGACTGTATCCCCCCCCCCCCCCCCACAGAGTTCTATACTCAGTTTTCACAAACCATGCTGTACAATCATGTACATGCGTGTGCACAGGCAGTGTACATGATATGGACCGGTGGCACTTATCCCCTGTGTCCAGTAACGGTATCAACACGGATGCTCACACAAACACATACACATGCACACACATGGACCCGCACACACACACACACACACACACACACACACACACACACACACACACACACACACACACACACACACACACACCAGCATTGCAGTTGGAACCGTCAAGGTGTACATACTGTCTGCACACACGGACTGTTAAAAAATTCACAGTTCGCGTGAGACTCGGCTGGAGACTGAGTTTTCCGCATCCGCAGGAACGCCACCACCCTCTAGGATCAAGGCAGGAACGCCACCACCCTCTAGGATCAAGGCAGGAACGCCACCACCCTCTAGGATCAAGGCGCGGATGCAGCTCCTAAAGCGGTGGGAGATGAGTAGATCCAGACCCACCGAAGTGATCGAAGACCGAAAATCCCATCCGCTGCACCCATGCTTGCCTGCACGGACTCTACGGCATCACTACAATGACGTAGTGTACTAGTTACCTGCATAGAGGCTGGAACGTTCATACACAGCTTGACATAGTAGGACTTGATCAGGTTCTGTGTGCTGTTCTCTCCAAGCCAGGAGTTCCCCAGGTTCACAAGGTAATAGCAGGACTCACAGTCACAGTGGTCGAGAGGCTGTGGCAGCAGCTTCACTGCAGCCATGCTGTCCAATGTCTAAACAGGTCAAACAAGCAACAGCAACACTGGACAAGTAAAGTTAGCACATCAAGTAACATTACGCAACTGCATCAGCCCAGATCAGTCTTGTCGGCTGCTCATACAGTCATGTATGTATGTACCATTGCTGGCAGTATACATGCAGTGCACACTGGCAGTAGACGGTGGTCACAGCATGAAGCGAACACAGTCCACACAATGATTACGTACAGGCTGTATACCATGGTATACAATCATGTACCTAGGACTGCGGTTATGCGAATGATGGCATGCATTGGTGGCAAATCAGCGGAACCGCTTATGGGCGCTGTGTGCAGTGTGTATACAGCGCGAGTCGCTAGTGCATTGCTGTGCATGTCATGACTTTCTCCACTGATGGTGTAATCGCATAACTAAACCTCTATAGAAAAAGCATATAACTCCCAAAGAATGTGCAACTCCATAAGACACATAACCATGACTCGTTTGATAAATTATTTTACTGTAAATCCGCTTTCTACATACCGAGAAAATGCTTTTCGCTGCTTCTTCTGGGTCAAACAGCATGATCAATGCAGCCTCGGATTTCTCTAGCAGCTGTTTGTCAGCTCCATCTCCGTCCGCTGCGATCGGTGCTTTGGTCGTTGAACCCCAAACATGCTGCTGACAGTAGCTGAACGCGTCGCACAAATCAGCGTTGTCCAGTGTAGCGCACCAGAATGCTGGTCCGCGCGTACACGGATTCCAGCCTGCGGGAGGTCGCTCAGATGGCTTTGTGGCCGTCTTCTCCGGTGGCACACCGTTGGTCCAGACCTGCGTCGAGCAGAACTCATTGGCGCTGCAGTGTTGTGCATTGGCGGACGACGAGCACCAGAAGTCGGGTCCTTCCGTACACTGATCCTCACCCAACCCGGCCACCGTAGACCAAAGTAGCGATCCACAGACCGCTAAAATCATTAGAAACCTCATCATCGGACTGGTTCCTAGAAACAAACAAACGTTCACGAGTCGTGACTTCACTGACTGTTTCAGTAATTATCCGCTACAGACATGTACTTCTACTCGCACAGGGAAGAGAGACAAGAACTGAGTTTCTTGGGCAGAACTTGACAGCGCTTACCAAACCATGAGAAGGCATCGCAAATTCTCATGCATTCCGCACGCGAAGACTAGCCCGGCACGAGAATTCAAAACAACCTTGCCAGCGATGACGCGATCATTGGTCCAGCCTCCAGGACTATTCAGGAGTCAAAGGACCCTGTCTCCAGGACGGCACTGAGTGCCGAATGCCAATGGACGAGATGTCACTGTCAGCGCCTGAGCGGGTCACCATGATCACGAGTCGGACACGAGAGCAAAGCAGCTGGATCGGTAATCTATCTGTCTGTCGCCGGCGTCTGGTCCTGGATATCCCCCCCCCCCCTATCCGGCGGTTCGTGTACATGTACATGGTGTACAACATTCAACTCTTCTTTTGTGAGCATGATGGTGTTGTGAAAGGAAGAATTAGTGTGCCGGATGGGTGTTGTACTGTTTGTCAGTGTTGTGGACATGGAAATCCGGTCACACATCTAGCGGCCCCAGCGTGCTGGACATGCAGCCGTGGATAAGCGGTAGATCTACACACATGCATTTTATGCGCTGCAGCCTGCAGCGCGCTAGTCGCATCGGATCAACATGTGCCCTGGCCCGTTCTGTACGCGCTGAGGGCGCCGGCCCCGGTCAATCGACCGGATTTCCATGAACACGACAGTAGTAGCTAGTGCAATGCGTAGTGCTCTCCCAAGGGCCTTTGTGGTGCGCAAACTCTGATCTCTCTGCAGCAATGTTCCTGGGAGTGCTCCCTAACACATTGCTTTGCCTCTCCACAAATTGAACAGAACATCGAGTAGACCACATTCTGCGACATACACCACACGTACTTGTACGTCATACCACCGGCAGCCCCTTCTTCTTCTTGTACACCTCTTGGTGGCATTCGAGACGAGAGGCGCTCAGTGTTACTGTATGTCGCAGAATGCGGTTTCCCAGGATTCCGGCACTTTCCCACCCACCCCTGGCCCTCGTCCACTCTCTGAACTACAGTGAACAGGCTGGACAGTGGGGATATCACGCGCCAATGGGGTGGTGTGCCGAACGCTCACAATCAAACTCGTAAACATTACTGTGCCGATTCTGATGGAGAAAGAAAAACCGTAAAAACTTCCATCCGCTAATATCAACTTACAGCAAAATATGTTTGGAAAACAATAAACCTAAAATAGTTCTATAGGATGACGGTATTATGCTTGCCATAAATAAAGCATGGAAGGCAATACAAGAAGAAAGTGATATTGAACGCACCATCAAGAAGATTGTTGGTAACACTGTACACTACAAGAGAGTGATAAAAAGCAGTGAGGGGGGAGGGAGGCTCTAAAGAAGATGTTCACGGTGAGCGCAGGGTACAACAGAGAAGCGGGGCCGACTCTCGGATCAAGTGTGGCAGCGGTGGGGTGGTGGAATAGCGTGTTCAGGTTCCAAATGCACCAACTACAAAGCTGCTAAGTGGGCACGTAACAAGACAGGAGGCAGAAGAGAAAACTCTAGAACAAGAAGGGGGGGGGGGGGGTGTGTTTTGACAAGCATCACGAATGGGCATCAAAATGCCAGGAGACCAGGTAAATAAGAACATATGACGGGTTAAAGGGACAGCCAAAAATAAGGGATTGCATGAAACAAGGAACCACTACGATAAGACTCAAGTTATGCAAACGATCCAAACCCTGCATAATCGCTTGCACAAAGACGAATAATTACTAATACAAATGCCATTGAAGGATTGCAAAACATCTTCGCGGGTGCGCGCAGGCTAGTATGCGTGGACACAGTAAAGGTGCAATGGGCGGTACCTGGGCATTGGGTATTGTCTAGGCCGGACGACATCAGCGAAAAAGGCCAGCATTGCTCCAACTGTTGCTCTAAATGATGATGTTGACAGTACTCGTTGCCTAGGATGAAGCAGTGAATTACCTAAACGTATGTATGCATGTATGCTTGTATGTAGGTGCACATGTGCGTGCTGTTGTTGTTGTCGTTGTTGTATGTGCACATGCCTCTATTGAAGTATTGTGATTGTAGGGATGTAAAAAGCTAATTCTGCCTTATCTGAGACATGGCACTCTCTGGTGCCTTCTCCAGCTTCTGGAAGTGGACTCTGGCATTTTTGATGTTGACAACTGCAGCTGCTGAGGCTGAGCAATATGAAGAAAACATGTACACACACACACAAACACATAGAAGAAGTTATTCGCAATCAAAATCTGTTTCATGAGATGTGTTCAAATGATCAGGTATTTTCAGTCAATTGTTCACTGCTTCTGTTTTCCACTGGCAATTCTTTCTCAAATACAACTATAAACACACACTGGCTCTTACAAGGCACACATACACACACATACACAGAGACACACACATATACCGTATTTCCTCGATTAATGGACCATGCTCGATTAATGGACCATGCTCAAATAGTAGACCCTCCTAGAGGCCTCACGGAAAAATAGTAGACCATGCCCGAATAAGAGACCCGGTCTCTTATTTGAGTTCATCGCTTTGCGCATGCGCACTAAGAAAGCACGTGGTGGATCAAAAAAGGACGCGATTTTAGGTTGCGCAACTGCAATTTTTGTAGTGGCTAGTGCTTTCTTTCATTATTTGAGCCCGGTCCATGATCCACTATATTTTCATCGGCACATCGCTGGAAATGGTGAATTTTTAACCCTTTGTGACCCCATCAATCGATATCGATCGATTGGTATACAGTGGCACTAAAAATATTATATCTCTGGTGTTCCTTCCCCGATTTTCATAAACAAGCGTCTACGTCTCGAGAGGAACCTTGGCTATCACGTCGAAGTTATCCGAAGTCTCTACGAGGTACAATGCCGCCGTGGTGAGACTCGAGGTCAAAGGAAAACTGAAAAATTCACTCCGATCGAAAAATTCAAATTTTCACACTGCACTTGGCAGGGGTTTTCCCCGGAGTGCTACGTCATACTCAAGCATGCTGCACACCAAAATGTTGCGCTTGAAACGAGCTTTCCGCTGTAGTTTATTTGAAGTCGACGTGATGAAGGAGAATGGAATGGCGGCTGTTTGAACTTTGCTGGAGCTGTTCGCGCACGGCTGCTGTTCTGAACGGCATTCTAGGCCACGCAGAGCAGAGGACGTGCAGGTAGCTGGCTTTAGTGTGGTATTAGTCGCTTCGTCTTGGAAATACCTTTCCAGCGGTGGCAAGTTTGTAAAAATCGGTGAATGTTTGGCAGAGATACAAGCGAACGTGCATGTTATTCGGAGGTGAGTAAATTGTACTTTCAGTGGGGTCACAAAGGGTTAACACGTCACACTATAGAACTTCTATATTATGACGTGTTAAAAATTCACCATTTCCAGCAATGTGCCGATGAAAATATAGTGGACCGTGCTCAAATAATGGACCATGCCCAAATAAGAGACCGGGGGTCCAACCCTCTTCAAAAAACAAAAGACCAGGTCTATTAATCGAGGAAATACGGTAATACTTTTGTGGACATTGGAATCCATTGAGAAGTCAAGCGGCCACGGGGTGCTGGCCTTGCAGCCGTGAGCACTGCTAGTCCATTTTTACAGGGTGTACGTCAACTACAGTGTGTGTACTAGCTAAGGCAGTAAGGGCGCCGGCCCCGGTCATTCCAACGAATTTCAATGTCCACAACAGTACACACACACACACACACACACACACACACACACACACACACACACACACACACACACACACACACACACACACACAGACAGAAACACAGACAGAAACACACACAGACACAAGTCCCCGGAAAACACCAAGCAAACAATACAAGGAGAACCAGCTTTCAACAAACAAAGCCAGAGAGCGCGCACGCGCGCGCGAGAGAGAGAGAGAGAGAGAGAGAGAGAGAGAGAGAGAGAGAGAGAGAGAGAGAGAGAGAGAGAGAGAGAGAGTACATGCATTCTCAACTTACACATGGACGTATCACTAGTAACCAGCATCACGTATGTATTAGCAGTGAAGAGCTCAATGAAGGCAGCAAAGCTAGTATTGCGCACCTCCAGGCTGCGCAGGTGAGATTGTACTTTACTACACACACAACGACAGAGAGGACCACAGCAGCAGATACAAGCTTTGAGACTTCTTGCTTGAATTTGAACAACGCCAACCATCAACAGCGGACATCTGTTCACACTAAGTGCACAGGCTACAATACTACAACCTCTAGAAATATAAACTAGAATGTGAACTAAGTTAGTGTTTTGACACATTTTGAACGCTGGCCCAATTTCTGTTTCAGACAAGCTTCTGTTCTCCTGTCTTATTGAAAATGACAAAGGATAGACAGGTGGAGAGAAAGCAAATTAGTGAGAAAGCCATTCTGGCCGTTAGTGGGCACATGCCACAGATAGTTCTATTCGTGCGGTAAAACTTGGCTTCTGTCCTACCTGCAGCTCATCTTGAATTGTTTGATGATATTACTGATTTTCTCAAAGCGATGTGGATCGGGGTGATCGCGTCGAAGAGAGTGAGCTATGACCTAGGCAAATCACAAGTAAGAGAGAGAACTCACAAGATCACTAACCTCACTCTGGAAACATAACAATGAGCAGGCATGACAAACAGCACTGGGGGTCAAGTTACTGAGAATATTACATCACTACCGTAAAAGTCCGTAAATAAGTACGTATTTACCTTCGAATTTAGTGACCACACCCGTACTAACTTTCGGGCACGAACTAACTTTCGGACCTGACTTGTGTGTACGGTAGTGGAGAAGTCATTTTCATGTAGATGTACATGCTACGTGCTGCATCGTACCGGGACTTATTTCAGGCAGTATGTTTATCGGGCTTGACTTGACTTCAACAGACAGAGCCAAAAGAATGAAGGGGGTATTTCTTTCGGGCAGGTACTTATTTACGGACTTTTACGGGGTAGTGCACATACGAACTCATAAGCTAGGGCAGCAACACTATCAATGTGCACAAGAACAGATGAATTATTTTGAATTACAACACACACACACACGCGCGCGCATGCGCGCGCACACACACACACACACACACACACAGTGTTAACAACACAGCGGCATGGCACATCACTTGTTCAAACAGCAATTAAGCATACCAAAAATGTGGCTTTCTCAAAAAGCAGGATTTCGTCAGCGTCGACAATTTCTGCAAATTTCTCCAGGTTACTCTCAAACTGGGACATGTTTGGAACAAGGTGGTACACCATTTCTGACCAAGCCTGCACAAAATGACACGTGAAAAGAGAAGAACACAAAGCTCACAAACTTCGCCTCGTTGCCACACAATTCATGGCACAATCCATTGAATTCTGCCCACTTGCCCCACAATCCACAGATATACCCCACCGACTTTATGTTAGTTTGGTGAGCTCAAAGAAGGAAGAAGAGTACAGCACTGCCAGTCGCCGAACAACTGGGGGTCAGCTTCCTAGCCTGGACAGTTCTTATTTTCATGTATTACAGTCCATGCGCAGTTGAGTCACCGTGTATACATTGGTATGCTGTGCTCTGGCCGTTCTTCGGCAGTCGACAGTGCTGTAGCATCTCTACATATTGCTGGTCAAAAGAACAGACCACAGTCAGCACTACGTTCGCAAAGACGGAAATCAACACAGAGGAGACCCCACCTACTGGTATCCGGCCTGCTGTGGGCAGGGTTCCGTAAAATGAGTGGGTTTAATAGGTGAAAACATGTGGAAAAGTGATATCCATACTTGGACATTCAGTACAGCAAGCATGCAAAGGGTTTCCCTCGCTTCCACAGCCCACATGCCCATGAGTGAACCACACATAAATGAAGCCACGGATAACTGAAGAGCAGAAAAGTGAGGGTGGACTATTCAAGTGAATCCAACCTTCACACAAACACTAAGGAGCTGTATGCATTATCAAGCCTTTCCACGAAATGAAACTATTTCTTTCCCTGATACCTTTCCACCATCCCCAAATGAAAAACAAATTGTGTGAAGGCAGATTTTTGGAAATGAAAACAGACTCTACTGACCCACTGTCCAATGTGAAAAGAAGCCTGACAATTATGCACAGCACAAAATTGGGCCGAAGTTCAAGTGAACGGAGAGAACAATACGACGCGGAACGTCCACCCTAGTAATCCAGGGTGTGTAACAGCCAGAAATCACAGTCTCATCTCACCTTGTAGAGGCTTTCATCCCAGATCGAGGTGCGGAAACAGGACACCTCTAATGGCCGCGACAGGTGAGCAAGTTTATCTTGAAGTTGAGTGAATTTCTGCACACAGAAGAAAGCAGGGGAATGGTTGCGAATTGAGGACATTACTTCTACGTTCTTCTCATCTGGTGTACAGCAGTGGTATTATCATATACTAACTAGTACTGTAAATCATATTATTTTAACGACCTGATTTTCGAAGGTTAACGGCTTGAAAAGTTAATGATTTTCTCAGACAGATGCAATAATACTAGGAATGCTCGTCAAGAACATTCATTGTTGTCCATCACAGTATACCTCAATGTCAGTAGAATAAAGAAAATGAAATTTATCCAGCGTAAGAGCGTAAACAATTCAAATTTTTCGATCTCCTGCCGCTTCGTCAAAATTCATCTGAGAGACTTCGGAGTTGTTCGAGCCGACTGCTGAGCGTCTCTGCTATCATCTAGATCTTTCGATTGTTGAATTCCGTTGAGAATTGACCGAGTTACGATCCGTTGAACACGCGCTGCATGCCATAATGTGAAATGATTGATTTCAATCGTGCGAGGCCCAAATCATACGACTTTTGCTAACGAATTTTAAAATAACGATAAATCTTTGCTCGTTAACTCGTTACATTTTACTTGTTCGTTACATATTCATGATTTACAGTATGGGCCATCTCAAACTAATACAGGGCCTATAATACTTAGCCTAGGGCAAATGCGATATTTTCAAAAATGACATTTTCACGAAATATTTCGAATATCTTGCCACTTGTAACGTGGAGCGCTGGTGGCAGTGGGTAGCTTCTCTTATGAAATTCATCGTGGAAATCTGAAGCACTCATTTTTGGCACACTAATATGATAGCTCCAGTTACTGACAGGCTGGCAAGCAAAAAACCTTGTCGTGTGCCCCTCTCGAGTGGTTGTTGGAGTCAACGAGTCATTTTCAATTGTGCAACACTCAGATGACGCGAACTGTGAATTGTTTTTTGGGGGGGGGGGGGGGCAACAACACTGCTTGCATTAACAAAACATGTGGGTTCCAGGTCGGTGAGCGTCAGTACATCAATTTTGACTATTTCGCCTGAAATGGCACACTCATTGTAGTTTACTTTTGACGTACAGCAATGCTAGGTCAAATCTGGCCCTGGAACTCAATTTTACAGATCGTGCAAGCAGCAGCAGCCATGCACACAATGTGTGAACAACCCCAGAATTGCAAGATACATGGCACAAAAGGCACACTGTAGTGTCGCGTATAAAAGCATGACATGTATAGAAGCATGACTCGAAAAGAAGCTGATTTTTCGAAGTGCGCCGTGACACAGAAGCACGATTTGAATAGAAGGCGCTCTCTGCAAAGTACATGTGCAAGTACATGTGCAAGTACATGTGCAAGTACATGTGCAAGTACATGTGCAAGTACATGTGCAAGTACATGTGCAAGTACATGTGTGGCAGTATGCACTACACAGTGTTGATGATGTTGACATAGAAGCATGGTTTGAACCCCGGCTTATACGGCCGTAAGCACCTGCTTTTATACGCGACAGTACGGTACGTGCGGATCAAATTTCATACTCATCGGTTCAAGGGCCACGGATTCATGAGTCCTGCTTTTATACGCGACAGTACGGTACGTGCGGATCAAATTTCATACTCATCGGTTCAAGGGCCACGGATTCATGAGTTCATACATGTATTGTCCACAAGGCAGTGTAGTACGGTTGAATACAAAGTAGTGCTCAGGTCCAGATCGGATTTCACCTAGCCGCACAACAAATATGGATGCCAGGATGGTCTCTCCAGCCAAAGTGTAATGCTACTACTGTTCCAGAACACCAAATAGTGAGAAGCTTATACAGTTGCACTCACCGAAATCCGACCCAAAGTGCAAAGCTGGCGCCCTGGACCAGTTCCGATTACATCATTGTATGTGTACATGAGTACGTCCAGACGCATTCATTCCACTTCCAGGGTGTCAAGGGACGTGGAAGTAAGTTGAGGGCGCCAGCTTTGCACATTGGGTCGGACTTCAGTGAGCGCAACTGTACATGTAATTACCGTATCACGCTGGTCCTCGGGCACCAGGTCCATCTTGTGAATGAGGCAGAAAATGAGTGCCTTGGGTGAGTGCTGAAGGATGGCCTCCAGACAAGACTGATAGTAGTGCAAGTCCTTGTCATGCTCACGTGACTCCACATCAAACACATAGATCAGCACTTCCACATTCTTGAAGATGTTGTCGCGCTGGCTGGTGAAATAATTCTCCATGAACGACTCCTGGCTGCAAGTTCAAAGCAGACACCGAAGAATAATAAAGATGAAACAACTACAAGTACTGTAGCACTGCAGAGCTGAATTGAGAACGATAGCAAACAACAAACACATTGCAGCAAGAGAAAACTAGAGGTACAAAAGCACCGGAACAGTCCACAAGACATCACAGGAGGGGCATTTTGCCTTACCCGCCACAGTCCCAAAGGTTCAGTACGAGATTGCCCAGGAAGCGAACATGGGAATGTTCAACATCAACTACAGCGCACAAGATAACAAAACGAACACCAACCCAAAGATAGATTATAGAGATAGATAGACAGACAGAGAGATGAGAGAGAGAGAGAGAGAGAGAGAGAGAGAGAGAGAGAGAGAGAGAGAGAGAGAGAGAGAGAGAGAGAGGGAGAGAGAGAGGGGACATCAGATACTGGTGGTAAGCTAGTACCGTATAAAGTACAGCGAGAGCGCTCCACCTTTTTACAGCCAAGGAATGGATAATCGCACGGCAGAATGCAACTAAGGTTGCTTGCATGGTGTGAGAACCTTGGTGTACTAAGGTTGCACTTAGCATGTTCTTGTGTGAAGCTCGCACGCATCCGCTCGTATGGATTGAGCGCACACCGTGCAATGCGTGTACAAGGTATGTGCTGTATGACCTACAGGACCGGACTACGGATGGGTGGTGGTGGTGGGGGCACTCTCACGGTACTTTACGGTAGCAGTGAAACACATGTGTTGAATAATCATAATACCGCTGATATGAGCAAGACTTTGAAACATACAAGAAAGTTGAAACAGTCTGGACGCTTCCTGCAGTATCATTGTTTGCAGATGAGTTGTGCGTGAGTCTGAGTACTAGGTCATTAGAGACTGGGTTATTCACCCGTCCACACTAGTATTTGACATGGCACTTGTTGTGTTGCTTGCATGTGAATGGGTTGTAACAACGATTACATGTACATGTCCTAGTAATAATACCTGTAGTACATGTACCATGGAATATGACTGTTCTCGCCCTGGCTTGATACAGCATGAAAGGGCATTTGTCACGTCAGCATGTCACAGACATTAGCATGCCAGTATGTCAGTGGGTCAGGAAAAAGTCATTTTGATGATGACCCCTTCACCAGTGGTCACTGCAATGTCATTTTGATGAAGCCCTGAGGCGAAGTAGGCGTCAGAATTGGCACTATCTCTAAACGCGCACGGCTAATTTATCAATGCTGGTGTCACATTCAAACTCTGGAAAATTTCATAGAACTGGTAGCATTATCGCTAGAAAGTAGAAGTGTTTGTTACACAGAGTAGATCTACTACATCAAATAAAGCATACACAAAGTTTACAAACATCCCACATCAATGCAGCCCAGCCCATGGTCATTGACAACTCCCAGGGGGAGACTGGCACGTTCAATCACAAGCACAGAACAACACAGTGTCCACAGCCTCAGACATACTACAATGCACTAGCAAGTCTGTGCTTCCATCCATCAAGGGATCTGACTTGAAACACAAGTGCCTACAGTCATGTTGTTGGTTGACAGCATGTAACAAGGTGCCTACATGTACGGTACTACTAACACAATTACAATACATGTGCCGGTACATGCAGCACGAGGGTACAACAATTCAATGCAAATACCATGCTATTTCAGAGATTTCTGGCTCAAGTTGGGACAGCAAACCTACATTGTACTTGTGCATGGCTGGCTCCCTTGTGAGCTCAGGGCCTAAGGCAGGTCAGGGCTCGGTCTCCAAACACTCTAATCGAGAGCAGCCACCATAGAACGACTTCACGGGTCCACAAGTACAACATGAATATGAATGGCCTTTGGCACAGGAGTCCTCTACATGTACAAGGAATGATCGCAGTATTCTTGAGGAAACAACAAGTTTTGCAAATTCGACAGATATTGTGAATTTCGTGGCATTGCGATGGACCGAAGAGAGTTTGGGATGATAGACACGAAGTCCTTTTCAGGACAACGTGCATGAACACGTGTCGTACTCATCAACAAGCTGCAAGACGGAAATTGATTATGTACGCGAGTCAAACGACAGATACATGTATCTCTACAAGTCTCCTTACTTGTGGCACATAAGCGGCGCGTATCTCGGGCGATATAATTGGCAAAGATAATGGAGCGCATGCTGGTCTTGCCAGCGCCGCTTTTACCCATCAGTAAGACCTTTCCAGGAAACAAAAATCAAAGGCACAAAGTACAAAATTAGACTGATATTCAGTGATAACGAGTCCATTGTTGTTGATCAACTCCGATTATCACCTTTTTCTTCCCCATGATGGAAGCAGAAGAGAAGGAGAAGAATTTCCTACATAGTTGATGGAGCGAACATGTAATGGGTGAAGATGAGTAAAATAGATTAGAAATTGAAACAGCTAGCAGGCAACAGACTTTGAACACCAAAAGCAAATCAAAAATGCTTGGAGTGGATCAAATTTTCTCATCTGGTAGATGGAATGAACACTGCATGCACCGCGTAGATCTACCGGTGAAAGAAGATGCATGCCACATGATCATGCATGCTGAAAGAACGCTGACAAGTGACGTGATGTGAACGATCGTGAGTTGAGATTTGACTCGATTGTCGGATTGAGGATACTACATGTACTGATGTAGAGCCTAGAGCCTAGAGCCTAGTAGTAGAGGATCAAGGACTCGGACCGATTCGAGCGTGGCATGCAGAAATGAAATTAATACGCTGCGTACATCCACCGACAAGTAAAGTCACCAGGCTATCCGTCTCAAAAAACCGAAATCAGGACAAACTAAATACAGTATACTAGTAATCAATCAGTAAAATCCAAAGAAACCGCTAGAAGCAGTATGCGTAGTAGTCTACGGCCAAGATACCAGAAACCGTATCAAACTCAGCACGGGGTTCGAGGTACTAAAACGATTACCAAATTAAGTCAAGGATTGACCATTACATGCTGCATTCTGCCACTGCTAACGTGATCGAAGGGCAGCCGTTGATTCTTGACGCTTTGTGCCGATGACCTCTCAGGGCTGTGACTGCGGCATTGACCAGTGCAAAAGACAGTTGAGTGCGGATGTATGCCATGACGCTAGAGAAAGGCTCGGACCTCTTATCGGCCAACATGGATGCAATCCGAGCGTAGAGATTGCCAGCTGCCTTGCCATGACCACCTGTAGTGCTGAGCACGACCGGGATGAATGATCCATGCTCTACCTCAACGACTCTTCTCTCATAACTTCTTCTCTTTTCCTTTTCGTGCTTGCGGTACACTGCCGGGATTGATGACTTCTGGTTTGAGGGGGCAAATGGGTTGAAAACCCGGACATCAAGGAATGTCCTCTCAAACCGTCCACCATACAATCCACTGACTGCGATATCAAGAAATGAAATTAATGAGTGCCACCAGTCACCACGCGTCACGCGTAGACCTACTCGGTAGATCTACGGTACGCGTGTGCATACGGGGTACGGTACAACATAACCTCACGTGATCACCTGAAATATGTGTGCGGCGCAGATGACGCAGCAAAACTGCCAAAGACTGTAATCATGGTAATTCAAAAGAAAATTGTACTTGTCTTTTTAGTCTTGTTCGCCAGCTATCTTTCTTTCCAAGCTTTCTACAAGATTGTACTGCTCTCATAGCTACTTTCTCTGATTTGGTTCTTCTCGGTACTCTTGTGCCATTGGATGATATAAGAACGACCTGGAAACTGAAGATGGCTGCCGTTGTTTCGCGCGGCTTTCTGCCAATCGCCGCTGTCATCCTCTGTTATTTCAGCTTGCAACTGGGCTACACTTTTGGTATCCCACTCCATGCCTCGTGTAAAGTCCTCTATACCTTCAACCTGCCGTGCAAACAAGTGTCGACATCTCTGCTGAGAGCTGCTGAGAGCTTGAAAGGACCGGATGGCTGTAAGCCTGGCGGAGAGAAGTGCAACTACCAGGTGGTGTTCTCAAACGACACTATGCTCACAGGTACTCACACAACGCCTGTGAAACATTTTGTCGACGAGTTCTCTTTCGTACTCTCGAACCCAGTGGGTACCACTGATCGTTGCATTGTAGACGCCAAGTCCAGGTCTCAAACGTGGTACGCTTTCCTGGATTATGGGACAAACTATTGCAATCTCAGGAACTTGGTACTGCAAGCTAGCTTGGAGAAATCACCTGGATTTGACGAGAAAACCAGCAATAGTATATGTACGCAATACTCCTCTGCAAACTGCGATGTCTACTAACTGATTATTCACTGCATGTAGCCTGTAGCCTACGTGTATAGGTGCATATCAGATCGAGCTTGCGTTTCGACTGCATATTGCCTGTGACGTCAGTAATTCCCAATGAGTAAATCTGTAATACCAAGAGTACTGACTGACTACTAGTACTGTTGTGGACATGGAAATCCGGTCGCACGTCTAGCATCCCCAGGGCGCTGGCCATGCACCCATGGATAAGCGGCACACACATGCAGTTATGCGCTGCAGCACTCTGGTCGCATCCGATCAACAAAGTCACTGCACGCAGCGTTCTGTACGCGCTGAGGGCGCCGGCCCTGGTCAATCGACTGGATTTCCATGTCCGCTACAGTAGTAGTAGTACATGTACATGAAAAGGGTTTACTGTACTCTTGGTAGTACAATTTCTTGCTTCCCAATCCCTCTTCACACCGCTCCCACTTTGTGACTTTGTGGTGACAGCCATTTAGCCATTCTCATTTGTTTGTGCATGCTCTGTTACCCAGTCCTGCTTTCAGCCTGTGGTATGGCTAGTAGTGGCTACCACTCTTTTCATCTGATTCAGAGAGTGGGCTGAGTTGTTGAAAACCGAGCTAGATATTCCACTTTTTTCTGTTGCAAAGCCAACACACATTTTTATTTGCCCAACGTCTTTTAATTGCAGTCGTATTGAAACTTCATTCGCCTGACATACTTCGTGCTAATGGAACAGTGTCTTTGTGGTGATTTTGCTATTTGCCTATGCTGTCATGCTACTACTTTTGCCAGCTCCCAGCTCCCTGGAATCCGTAAAATTTGAAATTTCTTTAAATTAACTTCAAGAGTTTGTGATCATTTAAAAAATGCAACACATCACGCGTACATGTACTTGGGGAGTGCCAGTACCATGGGATCAAGAGTCCAAAACCTGGGATTATGGACTCTTGATGGGATGGATCATGGTTCAGGTGAGACCCGGCAAGGGTTGTAGCAAAAGTACGTACTCTTGGTTGTAGACAGCGAAAAGGATGTCCACAACCAGGGAGTCGTAGACATCAGTCCATCAGTATGCATAGTATACAATCATCATAGGCCAGTCCGACATGCACAACCAGACCCGCAAGAAAGACACACCGACAACACAAATGAACTAAGAAGGTGCATCTGTATTGTGCCGCCACAAGACTGACACAAAATAGATGTGGGAAGACAAAAATATAATATTTCCTAATACAAAACACAGAGCAGTTTTGGACATTACCAATAGCTGACTTCAAAAAAAATAGCACCGAACTGGATACAAACTTTCAAGAAAGCCAGAACACGACAACAACAGCAACGACGACGACTACAACATAGTTGTAACTTGTTAGACTTGACGGCTCAAAAGAATTTGGCAATGGGACATAACTAGTGGTCAATGGCAATTTCGTTTTAAATTAATTATAGAAAATAGAGTCACTTAGACAGGGAACTAGGGATCAAAGCGTAAATATTTAGTTTGAAAAGAAATGCCTACAAACAGATTTCCACTTCTCTCTATGTTTTGCTTTAATTATAGGTTAGCGCGTGGCAGGGAGGGCCTTATGGCTTGTTAGCGCCCTCCAAGTCAGCCCTACGGGTAGGCTGTTCTCTCTAAGTTTTGTTTTTAAATAGGTATGTCTACATTGTATTCGGATCTAAATTGAAAAAAAATCCTAGTCCAGGCATGGGACTCTGGACGGCTGGGCTCGACAGCAGCTCTTCACCTGGTGGCTTCTACCTGCTTCACTGGGCAGGGATGATATGTGGTGGTGATAAAGACACTTCTGCACGTACGGAAACCATCTATCCTCGCCACGGGCAGCAGGGTGTCCGTGCAGCGAGGTCCTATACATAGTGTTAGCCATTCAGCAGATTGGCTCATCTGATGGATGGAAAGGAAACTGTACAGGAAATAGGGTAAAAGGCAAAAGCTTCATCGAAACAAGCTAGCCAGCAGCAGCAGCAGAATAGCGGCGGCGCAGCTGCATCCTGGGGGGGGGGGGACACCCCCGGGCCAGGCAGGGCCTTATAGGTCTGGTGTGGGTAATGGACTAGAGCCGGCCGCCTGGTGCAGTAAGGTCTTAGACCGGCGTCCCTCAACACTCTGAGGACCCAGGATCTGCGAGAGGCGGGAGACTTGCGTTGGCGACAGGTGTTCGACGACCTTCAGAGCCAGCTCTAGGGCCATGCCAGAGTTCTGTTCCACGATACTGCAACGAGTAAAACCAAACCAAGTCACAAGCACACAGTGCACATGAGGCATTGCACGGAGGATTTCATAGACAATTAGACAAGTCTTGGGGGTAGATGAGCAGACCAGTCTATGAAGACTAAAGCTGGGTTCCCTTTTGATCTACAGTTTCGGCAAAACCTACTTTCGAAAGATGAGCTCCTCTTAAACTTGTCCACCCTAAAACGGCAGATTCTACTTCCCTCTACTCGAGGACGGTAGAAGTCGGGTATTGGTAGAGATGCGGGATAAGTTGGTAGAGGCGCGAGATTTCTGTGTATCCTGGAAATGGAGCTATTTCCCACAAACTATTGCACATCGTACTGCAAACGATGCAAAAATGGCCCTGGGTGAGGCACAGACTTCGCAACGACGATCTACCAAACAGGGAAGATGCATTCATATGACTTTTTCTTTTTTTTCTCTTCGGAAATCCATCTACTCTACCGAGTAGACAAAAATGAACACATCCTAAACGAGCACATGGTGTGCTGACAGAAACAGACTCTCCACAAAGAAGTTAATCTTCTTTGTCCACAGAATCATCAGTAACCAGAGATACGTGTTCACAATGTACCCCATATTCCAGATGAAGATCCATCTTCTCCCATGCATCCCATGCATGCATCATTTGCACATCAGCAAACTGAATGCATTCTCACCTTGATACTTGTTCTGATATTGCATCGCGCTCGACACGTCGCAACTTCTGACGCAGTATGGAGTTACTGTCAGCCATCTGCTTCTGCATCCAGTTGGCGACAAATTCATTGTTCGCCCACAGGTGAGCCTGCCAACAACAACAACAACGTGAGAATAAAGATTTGAAACAACACACACACATACATACGCACACAGATACACATTGGAGAAGAGAATATTCCAGTTACAGTGGATTTCGTACGCTGGCATGCCAATATGAAATTAAAGTGCAGGCGAAATTACCAGGGGCATTCGTAACCAAAAAATTAACGATGAGGTGAGGCCAATTGCCTTCGAAATGGTGTAAATGAAAAGTAGGAGAAACTGATAGAGGTACATTGTACATGAAGTACAGAGCTTTTCCATAAGATTTTGCTGTCCAGAGATTGAGTATTTCCGGATGAATACTAGATAAGATGAGCACTCAGCCAACAGGCATCCGTATCCAGAATTTCAACACTATCGCATTGCCAAACACAAAACGACTACAGTAAAGACGTTTCTTTAATACCACATACAAGTACAAGTTGGGAATGAGCCGAATGCCCATTCATTACCGTACTTGCCGGAATACAGTGTTCACCCGAGTACAGCATAATGACAAGAGTGGCTCATTCTGCGTACAGACTACGGGACAATACATCTATAAGCCCCTGGTACTTTGAGTGGTATTTTCGATGCAAGACGTGACATGGTTCAGCTCACTAGTGAAGTTCAAGCTGCACGATGAATAACAAATAAACATAGCAGACAAGTAAGAATAACAAGTACCTTCGCTTCTCCAAATTCTTCCAGGAACCAGCGATGGAGGAGGGTAATGGATTTCTGCTGTGTGTATGTTCTGGAGAGAGAGAGAGAGAGTTAGAAAAAATTGCTAAGTTCTATCTTCGTTTAAATTCGTTGCCCTTATGCCAAGTTATGGCAAAGAATCACCTACATTGTACATGGACACATAATAGGTGTAGTGGGAATAACGAATGGGCTCTCACAGTGCAAAGGTCCACATGCAGAGGCAACCAAACAGAAGACTCACTTGTCCTTGGACTCCAAATGCCGCCAGAAATCAAACTCTTCCAGCCGCCGTCGCAACCGGAAGAAGAAGAACGTGCGCGATGACCGCCAGTCCAAGGCTCTCTGCACATGCAAAACGCAAGGACATCAAAACACAGCTCATGTAAGACGGCAGAACACATCAAATGACTTATCCCACAGTCAATGTGAGGCGGCAGAACACATCAAAATATTAATGACTTTTCCCGCATAATCTCATCACCAGTGGAAATAAATGGTCTGTGTGGTAGTAGATACTATGTAGGTGTCACCTTTAGTACCCTGGTGTTAGTTATGTCACAATATGTACCTCGCACCTATTTACCTTATATTCGGTCTCTCTAGTATGTAACAGCAGTTCAGTCTTCAGGACAACATTGGCGCAGTGAACAAGCAGGACTCAAGATGGCAAGTTCTCTCGGCAGAGCCCCAAGTTCCTTTCAAGTCTCTGAGGACACGAACCAAGCTGAGGAATTCGCCTTGTGGTTGGAAGACTTCGAAGCCTACCTTGACCTACAGAAGATCGACGCAGCCGCGCAGAAGAGGAAACTGCTGCTGAATATTGGCGGAATCGACCTCCGGCGGATCACCAAAGGCTTGGTTGTGACCACAGCTGAGGCAGAAGGGGATGTCCCACCTGACACGTACACTCCTCTGAAAACGGCCTTGGAGAAGTATTTCAAGCCTTCCATCAACCTGACAGCAGAACGGCACAGGTTTAGAGGTCGGAAGCAGAGGAATGGGGAGACTGTGACAGCCTATTTGTCAGCCCTTCGGGCTATGGCACAACAATGCAGCTTCGACAGCACCGATGTGGACACAATCGTGAATGGAGTCATCAGAGACCAGTTCATTGAAGGACTGCAGTCATCAGCTATAAGACGAGAACTCCTAGCGACCGCAGATCTGACGCTAACTGCGGCATCGGCAAAGGCAGTAGGAATGGAAGCATCTATACTGGACTCGCTACTGTACGAGCAGCCAGTAGCACCGACTCCGCAGCCGCTATCATCATCATCATCATCATCATCGACACCAATGGTAAACAGAGTCATGTCAGGAGAGGAGTCCAGGAAAGTGGCAGGAGCCTCGGCACAACCTCCTCGACATAAAAGGCGGAAAGGAGCGTGCAAGTATTGTGGGGGAGAACATACCCCGGGAAGATCCTTTTGCCCGGCAGGCCGGACTAGATGCCGGCACTGTGGGATAGTGGGCCACTTTCCTCAGGTCTGCCTCCGGAAAGACAGACTCAGCAATAAAATAGAGGAAGATACATTGGTGGTCGAAGACGAATTCGAAGAGGCTTATACCATGGAGCCTGCGGCAACGCTACGCGCAGCTCATGATCCCCGCTATTGGGTCGATGTGCGGGTTGATGGTAAGATAGTACACGGTCTGTTAGACACGGGTGCCACACGGACAATAATGCCCTGCACGGTCGTCCAGCCAGAGGAATTACCGGACAGACGACTCCGTGGATACGGTGGCCAGGAAGTCCACACACTTGGTACGGCGACCGCAACGTTTGAAGCAAATGGCAGATCGATAGCTTGTCGGTGCTTTGTGGTCTCACCCGGGAAATGTCCCCTCTTCGGACAGGACGTCATTCAGCAGTTACAATTGGTCACTGTCACCGTTGATGAGCCAGACATCAACACAGTGACTATGCCGCCGGTAGACATTGCCGACATCAACACAGTGACTATGCGGCCGGTAGACATCGCCGTGGACCCAAACGCCGTGCCTGTGGCGTCTGCCTGCCGACGACATGCTTTCAGCATCCGCGAGGAGGTCAAGGCAGAACTAAGTCGAATGTTGGAGGCTGGAATTATCGAACCAGTGAAAGAGGCGACTCCATGGATCTCACCGATAGTTCCTAGCCGCAAATCTAACGGCAAGCTTCGCTTGTGTATAGATTACAGGAAGTTGAACCAAAACATCATTCGGGAGAAGAGAGCCATGCCTACCGCTGAGGAAATAACAGCCCAAATCCACGGTGCAACGATTTTCTCGGTCTTGGACGCAGAGTCTGGATTCCACCAAATCCCGCTGTCATCCAGCTCACAGCCGTACACAACTTTCACGACGGAGGAAGGTTTGTTCCGATTCAAGCGGTTACCCTTCGGCATCTCATGCGCCCGGAAATCTTCCAAAGGGTCATGTCTGACCTGCTCGCTGGTATCCCAGGAGTCTTCGTGTACGTAGACGATGTACTGGTCACCGGTGACAGCATCAAGCAACACGATGAACGACTGCAGCGAGTCCTAGAGCGACTACAAGCGGCACAGCTGAAATTGAACAACGACAAATGTCAGTGGAAGCAAAGTGAGGTTAGATACCTTGGCAGCATACTGAACGCCCAGTCCTGACCCAGACAAAGTGAAGGCAATCCTAGACATGCCTCTGCCAGAATCTCAGTCGGATGTACGGCGATTCCTTGGTATGCTAACATACCTCGGAAAATTCATCCCTGGATTAGCGGACGCAACGGCACCGGTCAGGACATTGGCCAAACGCGAGCCATTCGTCGCAGACAACTCGCTCTGGATGGAGTTCAACACACTCAAAGAGGAGGCCGCGTCTAGATTGTTACGTCTGTCGTTCTTCGACGTCACGCCAACCAGGGAGACGGCCATTAGTGTGGATGCATCTCCATGTGGCCTGGGAGCTATACTGTGGCAGAAGGACAATCATGGCCGCTTTCAACCCGTGTCATGCGCTAGCAGAGCTCTCAAGGATCCCGAGACACGGTATTCGCAGCTCGAGAGAGAGATGCTGGCTGTGGTTTTCGGCTTGGTAAAATTCCGCCAATTCGTACTGGGGCGACAAGTGATCGTATTCACTGACCACAAGCCTCTGGTGGCAATCGTAAAGAAGGAATTCGATCAGGTGCCAGCCCGAGTGCAGCGATGGCTGCTGGCAATCCTCCCATACGACTTTCAGTTGACCTATACGCCAGGAACGTCAATGATTTGTACTGACGCGCTATCGAGAGCCCCCTCCCAAGCAGTTGAAGCCAGTCCGGCAGAGGCCAGGTCAATGAAGGAGTATGTTGGCTTAATCCTGGGGGAAGCTCCAATCTCTTGCGAAGATGTCCGGCTAGCCACAGACACTGATGGTCAGCTAAGTCGAGTCAGGAACAGAGTGTTACAAGGCAAGTGGAATACATGCGACGGCAGCGACGAGGTATACTTTCGAATAAGGGACTCGTTGTCAGTGGTTGATGACATCGTCATGCATAACAATCGCATCGTCATACCCGGTACCTTGTATGACCAAGTCCTCCGTATCGCACACGAAGGCCATCCAGGACTCGACACGTTTCTGGACACGTTGCGACAAAGTGTATGGTGGCCGTCCATGAGCAAAGATGCCTCAGAATTCGCTAGGACATGCTCGACATGCTGGAAGAGGCAGCGGAATCCTCCACAACCCCTCCAACCGTCAGAAATCCTACCAGTCTGGTATCGGGTGGCGGTGGACCTCGTGGAGATCGAGGATCATCACTTCTAGTCGGTCATCGACTACGGATCCCGATATCCCGAGTTGCTCTTGCTATCCAGCACCACGTCGAGAGTCATAATACAAGCATTGTCGGAAGTATTCGCAAGACATGGTCTACCGGTGGAGCTAGTTAGCGACAATGGGCCACAGCTGGTGTCGGACGAAACAGAAACTTTTCTCCGGAAAGCAGGAGTCAAGCATATCAAGTCGAGCCCGCGGTATCCATGCTCCAACGGAATGGTGGAGAGATTCCATGGCGTCGTGCGCAGGCGCTTGAGTGGGATGCCTTCATCACTACCTCTGAGACAGCGACTCCAGCAAGCGCTATTCGGCATTCGTACATCCGTGAATCGGATGATTGGGACATCACCAGGAGAAGCATTCTTTGGACGGGCCCTTCGAGGACGATTGCCGAATCTAGCTAACGGTCAAATCATCAACCGGGAGAAGCAAATTGACCAAAAAATGCGAATGGCCCATCAACACGATCAGAAGAGAGGCGTGCGGGAGCTCCCTGCTCTCGAGCCAGGCAGTAAAGTGGTATTGCAAGACGGATATAGTCAACCGGCCAAGGAATGGTGTGTCGTACGACAGGAAGGCCGTCAAGTGGTGGTGGAAGACGGTGTGCGCACGGCCATAAGAAACCGCCGGCAAGTCAGGGAGACTATCCCACCATCAGCAACTGAGGCGACCACCGAGCGGAGCCGTAGCCCTGGGTCTGACAAAGATGCTGCAGGCACAACGGAAGAAGAAGCCCGAGCCGACAACAACCAGCCACAGCTGCCTCGACGTTCTAGCAGAGTGAGCATGCCTGTGGAGCGGCTGGGATACGATTGAAACAATTTTACTATAATAGCATGGCATCCTTAGTAGCCGGAGTAGTGACAATAGCAGCATTCATTCTATCAAAGTTATGAGCAAGAATAGACAGCAGTAATATCCTCTCGTTGCTAGAGTGTTTGGGTTGATCATTCTTTTCAACTTCTTGTTGCTAAAGTGTTGGGTTAATCATTCGATTCAGCAAGATATATGATCATTCGAAATTGATTTACTCGGTTGTTTATTAATATATTGCGTTGCCCATTTCATTCGGTTGCTAGCTTTTTACTAAAGCATTGGAGTAATGTGGTAGTAGATACTATGTAGGTGTCACCTTTAGTACCCTGGTGTTAGTTATGTCACAATATGTACCTCGCACCTATTTACCTTATATTCGGTCTCTCTAGTATGTAACAGCAGTTCAGTCTTCAGGACAACAGTCTGGATTATCATACAGAAAGGTCTTCCAACTACTTCCGGACATTCCGTAGACCAGATAAACGCCAACACTAGAAAACCAACTTCAACATCCATACCTAGACAGTGTTCTGTGCGCGCGCACGCACATACACACACATGCACACATACACACACACACACACACGCACACACACACACACACACACACACGCACGCACGCACACACACACGCACGCACGCACGGACACACACACATACACACAAACTCACATGGATAACATTCTTCTCCAGCATGCGTCCGGCCGTGTCGTGTAAGTCGGCAAACTTGACAGCAATCTAAGAGAAACCAGTACAATGAGGCACATGCACAATATCATGCATTGATTAGACAGTCAAACTACACTCTTTAGTCTTTATAATCTTGTGAGAGAATAATACACAATAAACCACGATGCCACCAACGAACAACAGAACAAACCCACGCTGGTACAAAGAACAAAGCGAGACACGCCACAGCAGCGATACAAAAGCGGAGTCAAGCAGCACTAAGGGCCCTGAATGTGGAGTGTCCTTCGTTTTAAAAGACCTACAAGGCTACAATGTGTCACCGAACACAGGTACTAGCTAGGTTCTATTGTACTACACGTACAGGTTACTTAGCCTGCCTGCAACCACTCTAATACTCTCATAGCACTAGCCCAGCTTTTCAAAGTCGACAGCGCAGAGTAGGAAATCCTTCACAGAGTGTTACTGTCTACAGTCAGGGATGAAGCTGGCGCATCTGTGCTGTGGTGACTATGTGCCAGAGTACATCTGTGCTATGGTGACTATGTACCAGAGTACATCTGTGCCATGGTGACTATGTGCCAGAGTACATCTGTGCTATGGTGACTATGTGCCAGAGCATATCTGTGGTGTGGTGACTATGTACCACTGGCAATCTCATAGCCCCCGTTTCGCCTATTTTCACTATGTAGCATGTAGCATGTATGACAGCCATTTGCTGGTGTGGTGGCAAAGCTGGCGCCCCCGGTTGTAAGTCGCACTCAACTGTAAGTCGCACTCCTATTTCCAGGTCTATATCATATCGTTTCGGTATATTCACTTCAGTAGTAATCATGCTCGATAGTAAGTCGCACCCCTTTGCACCCCCTTTGTTGGCGCTGAAGTTGAGTGTAAAAAGGTGCGACTTATATTCGGGGAAATGCGATACGCTGACTACACACGAGCCACGCGCCTGAAAGTGCACACCGTGCATGGTGACATTGGTCATAGCATACCTGCTGGTACATTGGTGAGATGGACTGCTCGCGCTGCGCAAGCTTCTTTGTCAACGTGTCCTTCTCTTCAGCACTCAGGTCTGATCAGTCAAGAACACAAGAAGAACAGGATCTGTTGTAGAGGAGTGTTGGAAGAAAACTTCCATTACAATATAGAGACAAAGGAAAGTGAGGCAGAGAAACAAGAGGGCGGGAATAAGGCAGAGTGGGAGAGAGGAGAGAGAGAGAGAGAGAGAGAGAGAGAGAGAGAGAGAGAGAGAGAGAGAGAGAGAGAGAGAAGAAAGTGTGTGAGAGAGAGAGAGAGAGAGGAGAGAAGAGGAGAGGAGAGGAGAGAAAGAGGAGAGAGAGAGAGAGCGAGAGTGTGTGTGTGTGTGTGTGAGAGAGAGTTCTTCAATCAACACTACCGTATTTCCCCGTAAGTTAGTTCTCCCCAATGACTTAGTACCCCCCTATAAAAAATACACTTTCCACTGCCGAGGTTATCACCCCGAAAGACAGTTCCCCCCGATAGTAAGTTCGTACCCGTCCTACATGTACAGACACCGTACAGTACATACATCATATGCACGGACACTAGAGTTGCGCAGGCTTCCCACTGCGTGTCATTTACCCCCGATAAAAAAGTACTCCCCGAAAGATAGTACTCATGTGGCTGCTAAGTTCGAAAGTTAGTACGTACTAACTTACGGGGAAATACGGTAGGCCAGACGAAACAGCAAAAAATACACACACGCGCGGGTGCGCACACACACACGCATCCTAACACGCTACCTTTTGCCTTGAGGCCGGCGGAGAGCTGTACACACAGTGGATCCAGCCGATGCATGCACTTCTGAATGTCTCCCGCTCGGAACTTGATGGAAACAATTCCCTCCGGCTCAAGAACGCCACCTCTGTGAAGCAAGAAGAGGAAAGTACATGGATGAGCACAAGTGGTCCTACACAGGCAGTGTCAGGCAGTGATGTGTTCCGCTATGGATACGGCACCCCATACCAGTACAGTGCATGTACTCACCACATACACAAATACTCTAAAACATGTTATTGTCGGTGTACTTGAATTTCGGTGATTTCGGTAGAGAAACCTTGCACCTTTGAAATTTAAATTACACCTAAAAGCCTCTAGAGTATGCACTGTATGTGATGGGAAAGCTGGTCACCTAATTCTACATTACACCTGAAACCTGTCAGGTCCCTGGCACCAACATTTGAATACACCTAAAATTACAAGGTTTTACAGTGCACACTTTCTCTGGGCAACCATGACTAGACTAATTCCCGGAAGTCTGCCTACACCGCAAGCCACCTGTCTACACAGGAAGTATAATTATGTGATGATAGAGATGATGGTATACGTGTACAGTGGTGGTAAGTGAAATCCAGCCCGAGGAATATAACAGCTACATCTACCTGAATCATTTTGTGGGAACTGTGGAAATACGCCCAGTGAGAAGGCAGGTATTGAAGTATTGCCTGCGCATGTGGTGAGGTAAAAATACAGCTAAACAAACAAACCTGGGAATGTGCACCTCTACGTGTAGTACAATGAACGCTAGGTTGTGCGGTAAGCACACCTCTGCTTAATTCACCAGACTGGATTTCATACACTTCCCATTTACACACAGGCTGCACACTGCTACGGCACACGCCATGCACCATGTACGCGCTCACCTGCTCTCGTTGTCTGCGTACATCTCCATGGCGTCGGGGTTGATGGTGGGATCGAGCACGACCCAGGCACCACCTCTCAGCTCACCTCTCGGTGGTATGTACACAAAGCAGGGTTGGTGGTACACACGTAGTGCATCGACGATGAGCGCACCAAACTTCAGCACTTCCTCAAACATATCTGCACCAGGAAAGAGAGGCAGTGAAATAAAACGTGCACCGTACGTTAAGTTTCAAGCTAACAGGTGATCAGTTTGTACACAGCATCAGAATCTCTACATCGGCCCAGGGCCTCGGGAACACAAAGATTTCTTGTACGTGATTTCTTGTACGTGAACTGGCAATGCTTGAAGGTCTAGGCCTCTTTCACCCAATTGCTAAGATCCAAGTACATGTACCAGCTTTGAATGCAAAATTCGACAACGTGAACTATCTAAATGCCCCAGATATTCTTCAAGATATTGAAGCTCCGTGGAGACAGAACTGGGTTCTCCCACGAAGAAATATTCACCAGAATACCCCAGCCATACGTGTACGTGCTGAATGAAATCTAAGTACTCATCAACAAGTTAGCACCCTGTGTCAGTGTACAGGCCAGTGTTTGAAGGTCTAAGCGGTCTGCATACTACATACAGTTACTGTCAAGGATTATATCAACTCGGACATTACTCTCCCATACCCACCTCGCATGCCACCAGAGAAGCCTCGCCAGTTGGCGAAAATGAACAGCGGAAGGCCTTCCCTGTCGAAGTCACGGATGGCTTGTGCCGTCTTGAAGGCTGAATCCGGATACCACACTTGCCCAGCCTGGCTGACCGTCTTCGACAAGAAGGAAAGCAGCACACATGTAAAGCATTATCAGGTGCCATACAATAGCCATCCAATGCAGGCAAGTATAACATATTGTGGTTGCCATTCTCAGCGACTAAACTGCTCTTCTTGAGGTGCTATGCAGTAGGAAAGCAAAGTGGATGTTACCTTCGTCTCAGAGTCAGGGTTGGCCGGGTCAGCAGGCTCAGTCAGCTCCACGGAACGCGTCTCCACAGCAATAACACCGACAGGTAAGCCACCGAGGCGAGCTCGTCCACACACTACAGTCTGCGCCCATGGCTTCAGGGTCTCGCAGAATGAACCGCGGTCGAAGAAACCACTCTCCCAGCCGGAGTCTAGGCAAAGGCACAACATGCATGCACACACGCGCATGCACGCATGCGCATGCGCGCGCACACACACACACACGCACACGCACACACACACACACACACACAAACACACACAAAACACACACACACGTGTAAATCCTCACTACATAACGGATCCACGTGTAACACAACCCTGCTCACGCACACCACCACATAATGCACAAACACGCAAATGCTCAAGCAGCACCTAACATTGTCTTGGACACATACAGTGCTGATCAATGAAATCCCATCGGAGGATTACGTTAGCGCTCTACATCCCAGCGCTGGCAGGTCTGGCCAGGGCTGCATTGTGTCCAGCAGCGTGACACTGACTGACACTGACTGAGCTGATCAGATTTCACTGAGCAGCAACACACAGTGAAACCTGTCTTAGACGACCGCTAGAGTCAAGGGACATTCAAAGTGTGCTCTCTGCTACCAAGACTAGTGGTCTCCTTATCCAGGGTCATTAACTCATTTTACAAGAAATAGCATTCTTGGTCCTGGTTGCAATAGTCTTCTTGGACAGGTGGTCGCCTCGTCCGAGTGGTCGCCATGACAGGTTTTACTGTATATATATATACATGATCTGGCGACTGTCACCAGGCAAGTTGCCATAGTTACAGGAAAACAAGCAGAGCATACATGTACATGTGTTGTCGACAGCCAAAGCGCCAGCACCGAAAAAGAGCCCTGAAAGTTGCACTTTTATTTTCCTAATCTGACCCCAGGCCTGGGAATTTCGAAAATGTACTCAGCGAGGCTGAAAAACGACCCCCCATCAGCACTACCGAGACAGTTGAGTCTCTTGCGTTCTCTAGTCCTGATCGGATGATAGTCTTCCAAAGTTACCCTAATCAATGCCCGATCAGTAGTCCTTCCCCTGAGTCTCCATTTGCATATTCCTTTCTAAGAAAGTACAGTACAGCCAATAATACTTTACATTGACGCCCGACTTTTCGCTCGACCTCACGACCCTGAGAATCGTAAGTACTCCTAACTGCATTGCGTTTTACTTGTGTCTCGTTTCGTTTCAACTCAACTTCGTTCTTGTAGCACCTTGCTCGTAATTTTAGCTTTCATTCTTTGTATCGTTCCAAACTTTTGGTGTGGCGCCCTTTTTCTATCATTCCAAACTTGTGTACGGTTCCAAACTTTCTAAACGAAAATGACTGTTGATCCGTGTCGCATACCTGCTGGTAGTTTTCCTGTGTTTTCTGGCGCGTCTGGCGAAGATATTGAAGTATTCTCTTTAGAATTTGATTCGGCTTGCGAAGCATATGGTTTTCCAATTGTCGAGCGCTGTGAGAATTTGTTAGATGCCGATTTCAATTGTAGCTCTCCTGTGGCGTCATCCTCGAGACTCTTGAACAACGATCGAGATGCATTGAGATACCGATTTTTGCGCAAGTCTTTGAAGAAAGAAGCGTCGAGATTTTTGTTGGCTTGTGATACATCTATCGTCGAGGACTATGTCCAATTGAGAACTGTTTTGACTGACCATTTCTTGCCAAAGGAGAACTCGTCATTGTTTCGTGTCAAATTGCGCCATCGTAGACGACCCCCAAACGAATGTTTGGTAAAACTCGCCACCGATGTACGGCTGATGACTGCTCGCGCATACCCTTCTGCGACGTCGGAAGTAATCGACGACATCGCAAAAGAAGCTTTTATCGATGCTTTAGATCCGCCGATTAAAGATAAGGTAATCGATTTTGATCCGCAGACATTAGAAGCAGCGCAGCGTAGAGCACTGGTAGTTGAAACGAATTTACAGAAGTCTAATACGGTCCTCGCAGCTGCGGCCGCAGAATTTGCATCTCCGTTGTGTCTGGAGAATTGAGTGAAAGCCAAACTTAACAATACGTAACCTTGTGTGTGTGTGAGAGAGTATGGAATCAAGTAAGAGAGTACCTGTGTTAGGAACCTCGTTAGACAACACTAGCAACAGCCCGGGACCACCTGAAGTTGCTGAACTGCGATCAGCCAGAAGCATTGCAGAGGTCAGGAAAGTGGTTGTTAACTACGCTGAAGCAGCATCTTGGACACCACTTTACCTCCACTCTGATGATTACTCTTTGAAGTATGAAACCGGTCAGTTGACCGCCAGTAGAGGTGCGTTGGCAAAGAAGGACGGTACCCTCTTGTACCGCCAAGGCGGTGACCTTCATACTGCCCTACATTCGAACCACCTGAAGTCCAGGCAGAACAGCGCTGATCTGGCCTATACACTAGATACACCAGGGAACACACTCCATTCCACCAAATCTGGAATTCACAAGCTGCTTACGGAGCAATCCAAAGAGTTTGAGAAGAGGGAGTGCGCACCAGGTGGGCTGACTGATCTGGATATACAAGATGTGGTGCGCAGTATGAATCCAGAATTGTGGGCTGCAGTGTGGAAGATGCGGTATGGTGATGACTTGGAGCATGCACTGAACCATCAACCTCTGCTGAGCACACCAAGCAGCTCAGATGTGTGTATGCCATTTCAGTCATGCTGCATTCCGCTAATCCGTCGTGCACATATCCGCTGCACATGCTGCTGACGGATGTGATGGAGACGTACAGCCATTCCTCGGAACTTGTGCAGATGTTTGCAAAGGTTGGAGCTGTCATTAGACAATCATTTGTGATTATTTCTGTGTCTCCTTTGGCACCTGCACAGGTCTGTTTGTATGCAAGGAACCATTGCTGGCTGTCCTGCAGCTCGCGGTGTGCTCCTCTAGTCCATTTCTGTGCGCATGTATCCATTTCTGGCTGTGCTGTAGCTACACACATGTCTACTTCCGGCTGTGTGTTGACCCCGGAGTGATCGCGCAGGCCCAGTATGGATCGAATGATCCGAATGTGGCTTCTTTTATATTGTTCTATTTTGTTGCTGTACAGAACACTTATCTCCAGTTCTTCTCTTCTCTTCTTCGAGTAGAGATCAGTTTTTTCCTGCTCTTCTCCAGTGTAACCTCGTGGTTCAGAAAATGTAACTCATTACTGTAATTAAAAAAAGAGGACCATAAGTTTACAAGTTATCCGTTTTGTCCAACACTAACGGCAAGAGTAGATAGACAAGAGTGTGCAACTCCCGGATGCAGGGTGGATGGGTTGGCCCACGGCGGAATTTTTTTGTTGACGTAATCTTTTCTACGATTCACGCGCTGGGAGTCTTTTCTTTTGGAAAGTTTTGCCTCGTGCACTTGGCCGGGCTTTACGTTGCAAGGTCGGTGTCAAGCACGTGCTCTCACACTGCTCTGCGGCAAGATGCGCGTTTTTTTCTGAAAAAAAGGTGACGTCAACAAACAATTCCGCCGTGGGCCAGGGTATCTGCAGATTGTGCAGGAGAGATCCGGAGTTGCACACTCTTGTTTACCTACTCTTGCTAACGGTTATAAGCAGAAAAAAGGATAACTTGTTAACTTACGGTCCTCTTTTTTAATTTTAATCCTTAGCTCTCCGTTTTCAGTTTTTCTTGTGTGTGACATACTAAACTAGGACATACTAAGGTGTCACTACAGGAGCAGTGGCTGGGTGTGACACACATGCATGGTACAGAATGACTGCTACACTGCACTACAGACTTTTCCGCTGACCTTTCCCCTGTCACCTCTCCCCTGCTGAGGCTGTGCTCCGCTGACCTTTTCTCCCTGACCCTTTCCCCGCTCGCCTCTTCCCTCCCTTGTGAGATGGGATATACTGGCTTGTTTGTTCCGGTCACTTCAATCTGTTACTCTAAGTTACCTTTCTAAACTACCCCCAATCAATCACTGTCTCTCTCTCTCTCTCTCTCTCTCTCTTGCTCAGACTGCCTGAATGCTCTTTCTAAAATGAAGTCCTCTCTCTGAGTCCCGCCAGTGTACCTCTTGTTTAGTAGGCGGTGTTGATAAATAAGTACCGTAAAGTACCGCCAGAGCGCCCCACCATCTCATCCTTTCGTGGTCGTATTGTGGAGGTGGTCTGCTGTCTGTAGGTCATACGACATGAACCTTGTACACATATTGCACGTTTTGCAGTCAATCCGGACCTTCAAGTGGACACAAGCTCCACATAAAAAACTGCCAAGTGTGACCTTAGTACACAAAGATTCTCACATCGTACACACTTCGTTGCACTCTGCCATACGATTTTCCTTTCTCTGGCTGTAAAATCAAGGTGGGGCGCTCTCGCGAGACGGGGCGCTCTGGCGGTACTTTACAGTACTACAACACTTCCGTCAATCCCTATTGAGTACTAGTACTTGCGGTCTCTGTAAACCCGTGTGGGGAATTCCTAAATATGCACCACGCAGCTATCTCAACTTGACTACACACGACTTGGTGCCAGGCAGTTAGCTACTGCAAGTCAACAAATACTCGGCGCATTTTTATTTTCGGCTATTTTCGGCCTGGTCATGCTTGGCCGAAAATTTGTTGCGGCCAAAATTTCGTTTCGCAAGGTTTAGTGTGACAGTGTATATAGGCAGCAGCAGTACAGGCCGAAAATTTGATGCGGCCGAAATGGATTTTAGCCCTGGGAGGCCGAAATTTGAATGGGCCGAAACTTTGTAGACTTACAGTACCATGCCTACAGCAAGAGAAGTGCAGCATACATGAGTGAGTGAGTGTATACAGCAGTACTGTACCTGTCTTGGTTCTTCCAGCCAGCATGAACCGAGGATCGTACGGCGCCTTGGTTGGTACAAACTCAATGTGACGGTGGATAGGGTCGGACACGGGTAGCGCGGGCAACGGTGATGATCGCGACTTTGGCACGTAGCTGAGCCACTTCACCATGGCAACTACGCCGTCAAAATCATTGGACACAGTCAGGTGACTGACACCGTTCTGGTGCATGATCTGCGTGCCGCCAAGCTGAGCATTGGAGGAGTATACATTGCGACCGAGTACCTGCAGACCACCACATCGCATATGGCACACATCCCACATGGTACCGGCACATGGTACCCATCATACATCAGATATCAGACATCACATTATGGCACACATCACACATGGCACACATCACACACCACACGGGCACACATCAAACATCAGACATCAGACACCAGACATCACACAGTTTGATTATAGAGTGCAGAGAGACACTATACTAGTAACCTACAATGCCAGTAGCAGGTAATGCAGCATTTATCACTAGCCAGCCTATAAGGCAAAGTGTAGAGACCCTTTGGCTATAGGTTCCACCCCGTTGACATTGACTTTGGTATCGCATAACAAGAGTAAACTTTAATAAGCTTCCAAGAGTGTGCTACTTTGCATATGGGGTCTCCGACGGCGAAGATTCACATGACACGTTCTAAGTAGGTTTTGTATTACGAACAAGGCCAGCGCGCGAGCGCGAGATGTCTGAAAATCTGCCATGATAGGGAATCATTTACTTTCCATTTGTTGCATAGCAAAATCAAAATTTGAATAGCAATTCGAAAATGTTGCATAGCAATTTTCTTCAAAACTTGACAGCTTTGTCTTTCTGCATGCAACACACACTACAGTTCATTTTAAAAGTATCTAGGAACCGACCTTGTTCAGAGCTGCCGCTCCAGTCAGAATGATGTGTGACGAGTCTACTTGGATCACGCGCTGACCGAGACGAACCAGATACGCACCAATGCCAATTGTGCGACAAGTCACCTGTTAGGATGTACGGGAGAACGAGTGCAACAAGTGTTACAGACATCACTGTAAATACTAAGTGAGTACAACCAGTGGACATACCCCCCAGCAAAGTGTGCAAGCAGACTACAGCATAGTTCCACAGAAACGAAACACACATGCATACCCGCATGCATGTACATGTACAATAGTCAAACTGCTTCAAGAATATTTCGACTGTACACATCCTAAATCAGTTTCGACTGTGCTACCTCTAAACTATTTCCACAATGCACTCCCCAAGAATATTTCGACTATACGCCTAAAAATATTTCGACTGCACACCTAAGAATATTTCGACAGTACAACCCCTAAAAGGTGGACCCAGCTACGCGCACCAGTACTGCTTGGTTCAGATGTCATAGTGGTGTGCGGTGCAGGACATGCAGTGTGACAGTATGGCGAGGACAGGACAAAATCAAAACCTTTCTTGTTCTCAGAAGAACGCTGCAGATGTGGGTGCTACATGCAGCAGACCATTTCCCACCAGCTCAGGCAGAGAAGAATGATACTGTACAGTAAAACCTGTAACCTGTAAGTAAAGACCACCGTGACTAGCGACCAGCCTGCTACTACAGACCACATCGTCAGGCACGGACAGACTCACATTCATGTACGGTTGTGCGGTGCAAACGTCTAACTAAGGGACCATCGCAAAAGTTCGCAGAAGCCCCCGAAACGAAGACCGTTAGTTTCGGGCCTGACCCCCTCCCTCCCCCCTCAAACGAAACGACAGTCACAATATGGGCTTCATTATTTCACTTGGATGCTCACACATAATAATTATTATAATATACTACACAGCAGGGGTTCATAAACCCTATGAACCCCTGCTAGTACTAGTACTAGCAAGAGTCCATAAACCACGCGTTTTATGGACTCTTGGTACTAGACTACACACAGTGTACAGGCAGCCAGCTACGCGACACGCGCAGTTGCATGAATGGACTACGCGTCCTGACAGGCGATCTACGCCGGCTGTGATGGCATGCTAATCTATATCAGCTCCTACATGTCGTCAATACTTTTTTGAATTGAAGCCCGGTTTGCGATTTTCGACACCGACTCCCTCCCCCCCAAACGTATGCTCTTCGTTTCAGGGGCTTCTGCGAACTTTTGCGATGGTCCCTAAGGACCACCTGCCACAAAAGACCGCTTTCTCTGGCCCCAAGGGGTGGTCATTAGTCACAGATTTTACTGTACTTGCACCCGTGCATATACAGGCAGAGCACAAGACAGCATAGGACAGTACACCCGTGCATATACAGGCAGAGCACAAGACAGTATAGGACAGTACACCCGTGCATATACAGGCAGAGCACAACACAGCATAGGACAGTACACCCGTGCATATACAGGCAGAGCACAAGACAGTATAGGACAGTACACCCGTGCATATACAGGCAGAGCACAACACAGCATAGGACAGTAGCTCTGACCAAGCTCAATGTGAAGATCTCATCATACGCCTGTGATGATTCGCCCGCAATCATGCCAGATCCGCGCAAGTTCTCCACACCGAGGCCATGCTGCCGACCTGCAAATAACAGCGAGGACGAGGAAGGGGATGAGGACAATAAGCAAAGATGCTGGGGTGAGACATGGCCAGGTTGTAAACACATGCAGGTACAGAGGACTGAGGTGAGTAGACTAACAGGATTGAATAGCTGGGATATCTACTCCATAGTCAGGCCCGAAGCACTGCGATTTCAGGTGGTCCGGCCCAATGGGATACCCGGCCAAATGGGATACCTAGCCAAATGGGATACTTGACCGGAAAAGAACCCTATTGACAAAAATTTCAATAACCCTGATATGCACAAACTGGATGGGCAAACTCTTTAGAAATAAGGTCTGGCCATGGACGGATAGGCCTGATCGTGTGCTACGGCCCTGATAGTCCATGGCAGAAGAGAGAAGAGAGAGGTGAGAGAGAGAGAGAGAGAGAGAGAGAGAGGGGGGGGGGGGGGCAGAATGCACGCCCCCGACACAACGTACCATAGATATCCAGGATCATATAGCGACTCTGGCCTTCATCCTCGATTAACTTGGCGTTGATACTGCTCTCGTTGCAGATCTACATGCAACACAAACAAACAGCAGCACCCACAACCTTGTGATTGCACAAGGACAGAAGATCGAAAGCAACATGTGCAGGACTTGAAAGTGCGAGGGCGGCAGAATCATGGGCAAGCCGCTTCCGCCTGACATCAGCTTTTAGGTCATTGTAGTAAGACATTTTCATGAATCTCATCACTACTGTCCGTACTATAAGTTCGTACAGGTGGAATCCTGAACCCATGACAGATCATGCAGTTACACAATGCGACAGTTCAACGGCGTGTCCACTTATCACAGGGTACAAGACATGCTATGCTGTGTATCGTTGGCACATGGGGCTAGACACGATACATGACCATGAGAGAAAACAGGACTGACAAACGTGTCCGAGTGCATGGACATGTACTATGGAGCAGAAGACTGGCCGCATGGAGAATTCTCTATGCGGCCAGTCTTGTTCGTGTCATGACAAACTAAATATCCTCTAGACTTCTCACAAGAGCCAGGACACAAGCTGAATGCGGCCGTAACATGTTAGTGAAGCTTACCTTCTTGTAGTCTGCTGGTGTCACATAGAGGTACTTGAAGCCCTGAACATTGCAATGGTAAAGGAAGACAAAGAAACTAACACATGAAGCACAGAAACCACAGGCAGTTTTGTCGAGGCCTCTCGCACCATTACTGTATTGCCTAATGTTTGTTATTTTGCGAGAAGAGCATAACGCAAATATTCACCATCGTGAATGTCAAACTTCAACAGTGGGTGTATATGTGTGGCCACAGTGCTCCGCGAACATTTGCCATCGTTAACTCGCTGGTTCTGCGACGTCGCAAAAATGGAGTGACGCAAACATTGGGCGATTTACAGTAGTCTTCAAAGTCGTTACAATGGTGATAAGGCAAGAAGACAAAGAAAGGAGCACACCAAATCCCATGGTTTATCCCTAGACCTTCCCAGCAAAAGAGGTGGAAACATAGCCAAGGGAGACTACAGTTCTATCTTGAATTCTTGATAAAACCAGAGATCGTGTAAGGCTACATTTACACAAGAGTTTTCAACCATCCATGCACACAGATCGTTGACAAGAGCGTTCACAAGATGCATTGTGCTCAACCCGGGTTGATTTCACCTCCGAAGGGACCACGCAAGACTCCATTTTAGAAGTCGGCATGCCGAGTTCGTGATCTCCCTGGGCCAACCCCCTACATGTAAACACACACCTTTCGCTCAAACCGGACTCAGCATCAACGTGTGTGGAAAACTGTCTTGTTAACACGGCCCAACTGGACAATCGGAGTGCACACATGTACATGTACATGCAATGTACATCCAGACCCACCAGCCAAGAGTACAATCATGTACAGTGCTGGCAACTGAAATCCGACCCCCTGAGCGGTGCGCTCACATCGCAAAGAATGTGAACCCACCGCTCAGGGGGTCGGATTTCAGTTGCCAGCACTGTACAAACCTATCCCCAATCCAGGCCTATCTACTTTTGTCTACGCTGATTTGCCCACAAAGGATGCAACAGTTCTGCCCGCAGATTGATATTTCCACTCCTACTCTCATGTGGGGTAGTGACTTTGCTGTTTGTGTTGCGCAGAGGTCACTGACTTGTCAGTTTGAGCACTCTGGCATGGTACGTTCGGGCCTGGTTTTTATCTGCCTTTGGAAAATTTATTTTTCATTGCTATCAGGTTCTGCCTCATTTTCTTTGTGCTGCGCTGATGAGTCCACAAAGGACGGAGCAGTTCGGTCCGCAGATTGAGTACTTTTGTCAACCATGCAGGCAACACATACACATACACAGCACAATCACATGCCATATACAGCATAGTCACATGCCATACATAGCACAATCACATGCCGTATACAGCACAGTCACATGCCATACACAGCACAGTCACATGCCATATACAGCACACTGAGCACAGTTACTGGCCATACGCAGTACAGTTACATGCCAATGATGCCATACACAGCACAATCACATGCCATATACAGCACAGTCACATGCCATATACAGCACAGTAACAGGCCATACACAGCACAGTCACATACACAGCACTACAGTACCTCGTCGGGCTTGTCGGGATTGACCCAGGCAACCTGGAACATCCGCTTGACTTCATCGGCCAAGCCGATTCTGGCACCACTGTTACTAGCAATGTAGAGACGAGGCAAGCCCAGAGAGCGAGCAAGAAGAGATGCTTCCTAGGAACACACCAGTGTGAACACGGGCAACAAAACACACCGAGGTGAATATGGACAACAAAACACACCAATGTGAATACACAAACAGTTACCAATGTCCTACTCAGGTTCATGTACAATAGAGTCAGTACTTGAACAACCAGTCTACAATTCAATAAACAATTACATTGTATTCTGCTTTCGGTCTACATGTGTGCAAAGAACTGAACAACAAGGCATGTGTGTGTGTGTGTGTGTGTGTGTGTGTGTGTGTGTGTGTGTGTGTGTGTGTGTGCGTGTGTGCGCGCGCGTGTAGTGTCTGCGTGTGGTGTCTGTGCGTGGTTTGAGTGTGAGTGTGAATTCCAGGATTCCTGTACTACTTACATTGAACAGCATGTCTTCATCCGGACCGAATGAGCCAATCTGATGAGTGATGTCATTACTGATCAGAATCACCTGCCACATCGACACAGCAGCAGCAGCATTCATAATGTTAGGAAAGCAAACTAGCAGTGGATAGACTTGCAATGTACAGTACGACGACCCCCAGGCAAATGTAAACACCGACAGAATGCTCAGCATGCTCAAAATGATGCTACTGGAAGTATATCCAAGCCGCCCACGGAAATCAACAAAGGAATACATGATCAAATCGAACCATGGCAGCCCTAAATGACTCACTACCTAGCATCATCCACACAAAACTGCACAGATAAGCTTTCCCTCGTTTACACAAACAATCACATGAGTCATCACAGTGCAGTGAGTGCAGTGACGGTTAGACAGTAGACTGCTAGCACAAGAGAGTAATCAGAGTAGCTTACATCTCGTCCTTCGGGACACTCAGGCGTGAACAGAGTCAGCCTCCACGCCACCATACCGACCTAGGCCGAGGTAACGCAATAAAAAGCAAGCAATGTAACAGAAACACACACACACACACACACACACACACACACACACACACACACACACACATACACACACATGCGCGCACGCACACACACACACAGAGATTGCTGGCCAATGATGATAAGCTAGCGGAGACTCAGAGCACCACTACTGGTAGTAGTACCGAGCATAGAGTAAGCACATCACATGCTGACATGCTAGACAGTCCAACCAACAACAACCCGGTTGACACCTGACTGGCAGAGTCCTGACTATCAAGGTCCTTAGCACACGATGCTGAATTACATTTGTAGAGATGTAACGTATTGGCATTGCACACATGCATGTGGTACTCTGTAATACAAACAACATAGTTGTGTTGAGTGTCCCAAGTAAAATCAAGAATATCCATGTGTAGCGCCCCAGAGTGTAAACTCAACATGAACCTCCATCATAACTCGTATTCAGAATTAGCGCACAGTTTAACCTTACATGGTAAAAGTATGCAGGTTAACCTCACATGGTGAATGCATGCATAGAGCTGGATACACACTGAAAACGACAATTCCGAAAACAAGTCGTGATGGCGGCACATTAGCAACTGCACACACATACACACACGGAGGTAAGCTATGTACTCTTGGTAAGATGTGAATTGGCTACTCTGTTCTCACCGTACTGCTGCCCGGGGCACGTGTAAGCTCCTGTAACTGTCCTTGCTCATTCAACACCAACTCCTTGGACTCAAGCTACACCAAGATGTTCACAACAGAAACAACAGCATAAAGTTTTTAACATGTGATCCTTTCAGTCAGAAAGGTACAAGTATGGCAGATAGTGCATATGCATTAGCCGTTAGCAACCCAAGTCAAATAGAATTCAGCTCTGATATTTCACTCAACACGATCATTCAGAGAGAGCTTAAAAAAAATCACGGTTCGCGCGAGACTCGGCGAGAGGCCGAGTTTTCTGCATCCGTGGGAACGCCACCACCCTCTATGGATCTATGGATCTATGGATCGATATGGATCCATAGAGAGCTTCAAAGGGTAGGTAGTATTTGCTCAAAGCGTAGCCACATGCATACATACACGTGAACAAGTGCACATGCACACACGTGCACACACCAGGTACCACACACACGCACATACGCGCGCACACACGCGCGCACACATACACGCACACACGTGCACACACACACACACACATACACACATGCACTGCTTGCAGGAGAGGCAGCCTAGGAGGCTCAATGCGATGGCATGTATAGGCAGCAACTCAGTCCACTCACCAGCTTGATTGGTATGTCACTGGGAGAGCAGTGTCCTTTCTCGGCATGTTCTCGCCAGTGTGTTCTCACAGCCTGTAGTGACAACACCACACAATAAGACATGCCACGGCAACACTCATGCTTGTGCCAACACGCTAGCCAAAATGTGGCGGCTGGATGTGGAGTTCAAGGAGGTTGCTCTGCGCGTAGACACGAGATTGCTACAACGACCCAGATGCCTTATCCAGTCCAAGGCACCATACATGGTCCAAGGCACCATACATGGTCCAAGACACCATACATGGTCCAAGACACCATACATGGTCCAGTGCGCCCTACATGGTCCAGGGCACCATACATGGTCCAAGACACCATACATGGTCCAGGGCGCCCTACATGGTCCAGGGCACCATACATGGTCCAAGGCACCCTACATGGTCCAGGGCGCACTACATGGTCCAATGTACCATGCAATGTACAATACATGGTCCAATGTACCATACATGGTTCAAGACACCATACATGGTCCAATACACCATACATGGTCCAGGGCACCATACATGATCCAGGGCATCCGAAATGGTTCAGAGAGCCATGCACTACTATCAGCTATACCTGCAGTCCAGCCGTGAGTGCATGCGGAATGGTGATTGATGTACATGTAGCAGTAAACGTTGCATGTCACATCTCTTTTCTGGCTATAAAAGCACTTATTGGAATAATGGGGTATTCACACGACAGGCAAATCCGCGTGCACCGGAAAGTTGCTATGGTATTTTACCTGTGAACGAGAAAAGTGGCTGAAATTGGCTGAAAAGTGCAAGCAAGCTGGGGGCCCACTTTCACGATAATCGTGGCGTGCACGAGTACATGTACACCAAAAAGCGCGAAACAAGACTTGATTTTTTACGCGGCTCTTTAGAGCATGATAATTATTATAGGCGTGTTTTGAAAATTTGAAATACCCATGGCTACTGGTCGGTGAAGCATTCAAAAATGCAAACGTGCCTGTCGTCGAGTGCAGCTGTGTGAATCCACACAGTCACTTTTCTCTATGTCACTCCCTGTAAAACGTGCAAGTGCCTGTCGTGTGAATACCCCATAAGAAATCCATCTCAAATTTGTTTAAAGTACTCCTGCCAGTCACACATTGAGTTTAGGTTTTACCGCACGAACTGGCTGGATGCACACATTTGATGTGAAACACCGTAGTTTCTGTCTGAATTTATTTGTTTAGAAGTGTCTTCCTCTCTGAACTGGGGACCTTCCTCTTGCAAGTTGTTTAAATCTCCTGTTCTTGCTGTAGGTTAATGGGTATGCATGCAAACAGCGACCAGCAACATGTCTACTTCATCGACAGACACCCAACACATGCACAAATACTGGAGGCAAATGGCCGTGGAGCTGTAACTTCAAGTTCCACGCATTTCAGCTGTCATCAAACAGCAGCACATACTGTGTACACTGCTCTGCACATTTGCGTATCGAGCACTCTACTTCGAGCTGCCTCGACTGGCGCTGTATGCACCAAAAACATGTCGTCTTCGTCGACACAGGCTCATCTTGCCAAGTATCTTTAGCTACAGGCAAACCCCAGGCACATATCGTGGGTGCAATAACAGGCAGGTGCCGATCAGGGACCCAACACCATAGCAACACAACAACTCACCTGATAGAACAAATTGAGGAAGTCGTAGACGTATGTAGTGTTCATAGTCTGTGCTGCATACCGTCGACTCTACACAGGCAGTACAGCAAGCACAACAATAGCACAGCTTGGCACAGTCCGAATTCAAATTCAACCTCCAAGGATGCCTAGTATGTGCTCAAAATAGTTGAGAACAGCACTAGGTACTGAGGCCCTTGATCATCTCAAGATTGCCACACACCATCGCCATTTGACTTGGCATAGCATACAACCTAGCAGTGGTCCAACAGCCTTCTGGTGAATGAAAGCCGGCTGAACGTGGCTGCATAGAACTGGCAGGGGAAGATTAGTGTACTGCGATATCACACCATGGGTAGCCATCCCATATCATATGAATACAGTAATGACATAAAAGGCCAGAAGATGATCTTCCATGAGTAACGTTAAACAAAACTAAGCAACTGTATCTGAACCCTACAAGATGCATTCGTAATACATGCACAGTCAATGCTAATATGCACACACTCAAACTCTCTCTCTCTCTCTCTCTCTCTCACACACACACACACACACACACACACACACACACACACACACATGCACGCGCACGCACACACACACACACACACACATGCAGATATACACACACACACACACACACACACACACACACACACACACACACACACACACACACACACACACACACACACACACGTGTACACGTACTTGCAATAAATCCTTGGTTTCATACGGCTTTATCGTCGGAAGACCGTTCAATGGTCCTTCACCGTGCTTGCGGTTAAATGAGCGGAAGATCAACTGCACATAGAAAGTATTGACACACATGCACATGTACATGTATTTACTTCATAGTACTGTGCTGTGCTGTGCTATACACATACACATACGCACGCACACGCACGCACGTACGCACACACACGCACGCACACACGTTTCACTACTGTACCAGTATAGTACAGCCATACGCACAGTAGTCAACGCACAGTGCAGCGCTGCACCTGCATTGATGCTGCATGAATGGTGTCATGCTAAGTTGGAAAGCCGTGAAGAGCACCCCGTTTATTCACACACATACGCATACATAATACTGAGCAAACTAGAGTGAACACATGTACTGTGAAATAAAGCACAGCACCTTGTCCATTCCACCAACACAACACAACACAATCAACTTTAGGCTCTTGGCAATCAGCATGCTATAAGTACATTCACTGCCTTCTCATCAGATGGATACCGACATCTGCCAAGGCTATATCCACCACCAAAGACAGGCAGGTAGGCAGGCATACGTGTAACTGCTTCTTTACGCACTAGCCCTATGGGTATTGAACATTGATTAAGACAAGTGACCATGCCTATGTGCCTATGTGCATCGTAAGCACAATCCCAATCGCCTATGTTTGCAGTGCCACAAGCCTACAACTCACGCCAGCACTTTGAGGATCCTCCTCCTCGCGGTACATGTCCATGTTGACAAAGTAGCCACTGTCGTTGGTGATGAACACACGCACTGGTATGTTCTTGCCGTGCGTCGTCAGCCTGTTGCAGTGGCATACACACACACGCGCACACACACGCACGCACGCGTGCACACACACACACACACACACACACAAACAAACACAGGACGAAATGAGCTTCTACCAAATTCTAGCGAAATTCTACACCTGTCCCAAAATCCACGCCATGTCAGACACACCAACGTTGGCATCATGAAGAACTTGACAGCACAGGCATTGACTTACTTCATAGTCAGCTTCATTTCACACTCCGTGACCCGTAACAGCAATAGCCGGCGACTGTGGTGTGCAACTAGGCCACGTAGCTGTGCCTCCAGCTACCAACCAGAACAGGAAACAAGAGAAGATCAGCACCAAATGAATACTAGTAAGCGACATGCAGACAACAGTTTTATTAATGCCATGACTAATATCAGTAAGGCGGACATTATGAAAGTAAGGCGGACATTATGAAAACAAAACAAAACAAGAATATGGTGAATGTGGTGAATGTACATGAGAGTTGAGAAATAACACGAAACTAAAACAGTGGCTACGGCAACTGCAGCAGCATGGCAGAGCACACAATGCCGAGTGACAGTGATCAACTGCAGTAGCATGGCAGAGCACACATTGCTGAGTGACAGTGATCAATTCCAGAGGAAACAAGTACAAGTATGACTAATTCTACACAGGACACAAGGATAACATGATTGTAGTGGACATCATTACGCAGTGTACATGTACATCATCACTCCGTTGCATATGACCTCTTTGCTTTGTGTTTGGTTCGGGGTCACCACTTGATGTAGGCACCATTGCCTTTGGGTTATCCGTACAGCAATCAATAATAGTAAAAATTCTAAAAATATGCATTGCTTCCCACTGTGTCACATGACTCATATCCTGATAGACACGTTCAGCATAAGCGAAGCCGTTAATAGTGGTGGGAGGATTGACCCCAACGTGAATATCCAAGTCAGGAGAAGTTTTTTTTAGGCTTCTTGCAGTTTCATTGAAGTACAAGACTGGTCAGTTGGACACACTCATTCCAAAAGGCACTGCAAATCCAAACCAGCTCTGCAATATTACAACAGTTCGCCACTTGGCCATCACCAGGTGCAAACAATGAAAGTCCAAACGAGAGAGCTTGGAAACTCAGGGCCCTACGCTATGCTTTTTTGCCTAGCTCATCAATGACATCATGCATGTTATTAGAACTGATGGAAATGTTTTCTTCCATTGATTGGCTACATCTAACTTTCTCTTTGCATTCGAGGGTATACGACACCGTCTACCACCTTGATGACCTAGGCAAAAAAAGCATAGGGATGTTATAAATTTTTCATTTCTCCTATTTTTTCAAGACATAACCTAGGATTCGAACCCGCACTATCGCCCTGCATGCAATCCCCCGACACACTTCGCACACATACTCATTTTTCCAAGTTGCTTCACGTTATGATCTTGCATTTGAAAGCCCTATTTGAATATTGTGGCCAACTGTCTTTGATGGTCCGGTAGGGGACAAGTACGGGATAGCGCCATGCATCTTTTCCGTTTGCCGTTCTTCGGCCACAGCTAGCTCTCGCCTTCAAATCTCTGGTGAGGGTGTATTACCTAAATCAAGAGTACATAACCCCCCAGGTTCATCGTTCCCAGCGCTAGGATTAGAACCCGCATTATCGCCCTCCATGCATCCCCCCCCCCCCCATACACTTCGCATACATACTCATTCTTCCAAGTTGCTTCGCGTTATGATCTTGCATTTGAAAGCCCGATTTGAATATTGTGGCCAGCTGTCTTTGATGGTACGGTACGGGATAGCGCCAGGCATGCCGATGGCACAAACAAACAAACACGGAAGTAAAGCTGTGTGGACCCTGGCTAGCGCCAGACGTTACTGAAGTAACGTCTTTTGCATAGCTACGGGAATAAAATATTAATTTATGATGCCAGTATCAAACGCTGCTGCCCCAAACAACAGTCAAACTCGAACATGCCACAAGACACTGCCCATAAGTTCAATGTGTGTCGCGTGTACCTTGTCAACGTCGACCAGAATAGGCGGCACAAAGTTGAAGAAGATGTGATTGCAGTCGGTCTTAGGGAACTACAGCACACAAGGTAACAAAATAGACAAAGAGCACAGCAACGATGATCATCTGAACAAGTCATGACTCGACTCAATTCAGGCAGACATAGGTCAATCTTCAAACTCTATAAGGTTGAGATGTAGGAACTTCACTACAAAGAGCTCTGTCGCCACACCAATGTTAGCACCTGTGAATACTCAAGGTGTGTGTGTGTGTGTGTGTGTGTGTGTGTGTGTGTGTGTGTGTGTGTGTGTGTGTGTGTGTGTGTGTGTGTGTGTGTGTGAGACGCAAGGAAGGCCATGCCAGAGAATGCCATGCACGCCCGCACGCACACATACACACACGCACACAACGCAAGAATAGCTTCAGCGGAAAATACAGCTGAAACTCAAAGTTTCCTGCCCCTCTGACAATCATTAAGCAGCAGTGGACCCTCATAGTCTTTCCCATCCTACAATACTGACTGTGGAGTACACACATGTGGACTGTGCAGAGCTGCATACATACAGTGCATACTATATTATAATTGGTGTGAGGTAAAGCAGCTAGGAATAGCAACGGGGTGGGTGACACAAGGGAGCAGAGATGGGTGAGAACTTTGAAGGATTCCGTTTTCTCACAGAATTTGGAGCAAGCCAACAACTTGCTTCAAGAATCTCTACACTTCTGGCTGCCACAGCACAGCCAGTCGACATTAGTGAAGCAGTCACACGAACTACACGAATTATAGGTATTGCTCCCAGCACTTTCCTCAGAACAAAGACAACCTACCACTAGTAAATGACCATTAGTAAATGAGATAATTTTAGAGCATAGAAACACACACACACACACACACACACACATCACACATTTACAAAGCACACAGGATGCTGAGTGTGGATGGTACACCGCAAACATGATCAACAACTACAAAACGTGCAAAAAAGGGCGCACGACAAATTTCGGATGGGTGGTATGTTTCACACCTGCTTTGTAAACCTATGGAACAGTACAGTTACACATTTACACATGAAAAACACACACACACAGAAAGCGATGGAAAGTGTTGACAGTGACGGTTAAGATGTGTGCTGACCTCCACACCCACCCACACACACCCACACACCCGTGCACAAAACATTTACACCTGAAAGAAGTCACCATCGACCACTGGCAGTTCATCATTCCCACCTAGTGCATGTACGTGTGTGTGTGTGTGTGTGTGTGTGTGTGTGTGTGTGTGTGTGTGTGTGTGTGTGTGTGTGTGTGTGTGTGTGTGTGCGTGTGTGTGTGTGTGTGTGCGTGTGTGTGGGTGTGTGTGTGACTTCACACGAACGTGGAACAAACCACTTAAAAATTAGCAACAACAGTGTCATATAAACCAGTATTTCATGCTGAAGCAAGTTTAGTGTGTCAGAGCAAAATAAGTGGAATTCCATTGTGGTACTGTACCTATTGTTACTATTGTGAACACGTAATACACAAAGCAGAGATTACATCACCAGGGGAGTTTCCCGTGATTTAAGGCAGACAAGGCCGCATCCACCATGGAGCAGCAAGCTCAAGGCGCAGGAGGCCTTAAAGTGCCCGCGGGAAAGCGCAAGAAAACAGAGCAGGAGATCAAACTGAAGGAGAAACTCAAGGAAATGGAGCGGGAAAAGGAAAAGGAGCGAAAGAAGGCGAAGAAGCGGGATAAGGAGTGGGAAGACATACAGGTAAATAGGGGCTTGTCAAGCGACCAGTACAAATCCTACAAGCCATACTCCACTGTGTACATAGATCTGGAGAAGATCGAGGCCACCTGGCAGAAACTGGGAGATAGAATGGTGCGGAGAAAATGGAGTAAGGCTGACAACCAGAACGAGTACAACGGCCCAGAAGACGGCCATGAACAGCTGGAGAGATTCATCGCGGAGAGCAAGGCGGATATCGAGCTGAGTAAGAAATGCCTGGCGGAGATACTGGGCTGGGAGGACTGGTTCCCACAACACTTCAACATCGCTTACGACATGTGGCTGGACGTGAGGGACAAGAGCGAACGAGTTATCTTCCATCTGAACAAGTACATCTGCTCTGGGCAAGCAGACTACACAGCCATCATGAAGACGGATGATATCCAAACAGTGACCAGCTGGCTCATCACGCACAAGCACATCATTTGGAACTCAAAGTACTCTTGTGCCACCCGCATTGCCATGTTGCTCACCTACATCAAGTCAAACACGGACGAACACAAGCCCTTCAGCAACTCCCTTCACATGCTATGTGACGGCCTGTTCCTGCTGGCAGAGCTACACAAGGCCGAGTGCTACCACCAGCTACGGCGAACGGCATGCAGCCAGGAGCGCACCATCAACAGGAACGCATTCGACAAGGAGTGCCAGTCGTGCGTGGCAGCGTACATGGTCAGCATCTATCTGGGCGTGAGCCACTGCAGTCTGGGCATGTGTCATGCGGTTCAGTTCAGATCAACGCAGGCACTGGCTGGATTCCTCACCAAGCTGCACCAGCGACGCGGCCAGGACGTGGACCCGGACGTCATCTTGACACCCATGCCCGTGCTGCGCGTGGGTCTCACCAAGCTGAGTAAAATGCACGGACGTCAACCTTATCCGCAACCCGACTGCTGCCAGTGTCCGTTTGCGGATCGAGATCGCTTGCTGTTCAACAAGGCAAAGGACACATTAGACATGGCCGTCAAGACCTTGCTGACGGTAGTCAAGCCAGACATGGAGCGCCTTAGACAGCGCAATGAAGACAAAAAGAAGATCACAAAAAGGGCAGACGAGAAGAGGTGGGCGGCACAAGTAGCCATGAGGAGCACTCCTCACAAGCACATTCCTCAACTGATATCGATAGCGCAGAGACAGAAAGCAGTGCCGCTTCTAGCAACGATGCAGGTACCTTCGCGGCCAACATCACCAACACCATCACGACCGGCATCACAGCACACAGCAGCAGCAGCACCAGAAGCAATAGCACCTTCAATTGTAGTGGAATCATCGCCCACACAACCAGCAGGAGAAACTCCCGGGGCAGAGAAAGCAGCAGACAAGGATGCAAAGAGAGCTAGTGGTCTTGCGGCACCACACGCGGAAGACACGCGCACCGGTGCTGCTATGCCCAGTGATCCAAGTGATGCTGAGAGTTTAGGCGATATTGACAACCTGAGCCTGCTAGTTTCAGATGAGTGCAGCAGCAGCAGCAGCAGAGATTCAACAGATTCAGACACAAACTCTGTAACTCGCAGGCAATCTGCACCCGTGTCAAGCAGTAACGTGCTTGAAGCCACTTGGGCACGACCAGCCAGTGGTATTGTCAGGAATAGTACAGAGCGCACACTGTCCACCGACAGTGACAGCTCCGGAAGCAGCACAGATACTCATCACAGCCTAGACACAGGAGGAAAGCTGACACTGACGAAAGCCCGCACTGATTCGATCGTATCGACGCGGCGAAACTACAGTGACGTCACTGTGGTAGTAAACACAAGAGGAGGTGAGAATGATGAGAACGATGACAGCAGTGACAGCAGCAGCAGCCCCATGCTCATCACAATGGTGGACAGCAACATCAAGGCTAGCTTGGAGCCGCCTGACTGCACAGGCGAACACAGCTACAGCAGTGCTACTGCTTCAGTTCTGGAGAGAAACATGCCACTGGCACAACGCAACATGCACGCCCTGGCAGCACATAGCATACTGGCCGGGATATCATCACCGGAACGGCAGAACACGCACTTGCAGCAGTGGATCAGACACCAGAACTGGCAGACAATCCAGAAGCCTGGCGTGTGGGATGACGAAGACAAAATGTACAAAGCAGTGGCGCACGTTGTCAGCAACAACTGGTTTCAGAACAATCGCATTCACAAGCACCTAGCTGAGCTGATACCCACACTGGAAGGTGCAGCCAAGGTCAAGCGGCCAAGCATTCCCATCAAGAGACTGGTTGCCGACACCTACAAGGGACCAGCAAACGCTGAGCTAGTCCACTGGAATCCTCTACGCGCATTCGCACAGCTGATCAAGTGTGGCCTGCGACCAGCAGTCAAGCGACTGACTAACGGCATGTCGGTGGAGGAGATGACAGCACAGGTCGAGGCAGACAGTGCCAGTGGAAAGTCATCCTACATCTGGGAGTCGCTACCGGAAGAGGCTGTGGATATTATTAGTAGCCTTCGGCCGGGCGCTGTGGATAAAGAGTTCACATCGAGACGTGCCAGATCGCAAAGTAAAGAGAAGCCGAGAAACTACCGACAGTACGACGATGGAGAAGTGGTGGAGACATGGCAGCTTCCTACTGGTGTACGACTGGCAAAGGTAGAGACACCGGAGGACGCCGACGACGAGGACACTGACTCGGCAGACCCAGAGGACGGGCGCAGCATCGAGAATGCAACCAGCGAGGATTTCTACGAGAGCGAGGGAGAAGACGCTGCTGCAACTACTATGGGCGAAACAACCGCCGAGGTGCAAATCCAGGCTGAACTGCAGCCTGCCGATTCCGGTGATGAGGAGCACAAGAGAAAAAAGGGACGTGGGAGTACTGTGAAAGAGCGACACCGTAGCAGCAACAAGAGCAGGCGTCGCAGTACTTTGAAGGAGCTAGAAGAGAAAAGAGAGGCTAGAATGAAGAAGCTGGATGAGCTCAAAGAGTCCGAGAAAGCAAGAGAGAGCGGATCAGATGACGACTGGCTACCTTCCGGGAAGAGAAAGCACAAGAATCTGCCGCAGAAATTCTTCAAAAAGATCTCACTACGTCGCAGAGACAGTAAACCAAGCGAGGACTACCCTGAGCTGATCGGCAGCGCGGGCACACCACGCCTAGAGGACGAAGAGCTTAGTGACTATGTCCAAGCTGAGGAGACTACTACAAGCACGAAGGACCAGCAGCAAGAAGACAAACATGTCATGGACAGTGATAGTGATAACAATGACTGTGATCGCCCCAAGCCCAGTACACCACTGAGCTGCACCGAAGATGAAGACACAAAGAGTGATGTGTGCCTCATTGACAAAACCTAACTGCTAGCTGGAACTGAAGAGGGACAAGTTGTGCATATATAAGGAAGAAGACGAGAGTAATGAGTTGTTCCACATCGGCCACAGTGCTATAGTCATAGTGCTGTATTCTCACAATGACCGAAGGCTTTCGGAAGCTCGCTCCTGTGCAGAATGAGGGTATGTTGCTTTGGGTAACGTGTGTGTGTGTGTGTGTGTGTGTGTGTGTGTGTGTGCGTGCGCGCGCGCGCACATCAACAGTTGCTGTTATTTCTTTCTGCCAACATCTGCTCGAGAAGGTGATTTGTGTCATCCAAAGCTTGGAAGTTGGAACCAGTATGCTTCACTGGACATTGGGTGTGTTTCGTGTCTTTGATTTGCTGCTCAAGCCATCACTATAATCATGTTACATAGATGTTGTGACTTGGTGAAATTTCACTCTTGATTCTCTCATGCTACCGACTATGTCCAAACAGCAGGCACACTCACATTGGTACAGCAAATTTGAACAGAAATTCAACTGACATGATTTTTTTACTTCAACTATTTTCAAGTATTATCTCAGAAAAACATGTATGTGATCATGCGAGAGACCTAGTCACGTGTAGTAATATCCCATGTGGTTGCGTAATCACCGGTGTACGCACACATATCCCATCATGTGACCGGACAGAGAAACTACAATCCCCGGAGTAAACTTGAGTGAATAGTGCACAATTGGATGGGACTAGCACAGCTGTTGTGTTCAACAGGTTGAAGCCATGCATCTGCACCTTGATCCTTGAGGGGTGGTGGCGTTCCTACGGGTGCGGAAAACTCGGCCTGCAGCTGAGTCTCACCAGAACAGTGATTGTTTTACATTCTACAGTCCATTCATCGGAAACAGACCCGCTGGCTTTTGTAAAGCCATGCACATTGCTATAGTAACTCACCTTCTTATTGCCCATGGCGACTTCTAGCTCGTCGAGCGCCTCCAGTAGAAGACGCTCACCCTGCGTCTCCATATAGTCATATGATGCATGCTGAACACATGCACACACACACATCAGGCCATACACATACACACATACACGTACACACACACATACACACACACGTACACACATACACACATACACACACATACACATACACACACACACACACACACACACACACACACACACACATACACACACACACACACACATACACATACACACACACATACACACACACATACACACACACGTACACACATACACACACACGTACACACACACACACACACACATACACACACACACATACACACACACACATACACACACACACATACACTACACACACACACACACACACACACACATACACACACACACACACACACACATACACACACACACATACACACATACACACACATACACACACATACACACACACACACACACACACACACACACACACACAGCATGCACGCGCACACACAA